GGGGGGGGGGGGGGGGGGGGGGGGGGGGGGGGCGTCAAGAACACCAGTGGGGTCTAGGGGCGATGGGATGTAGCACACAATGAACGTTTTAGGACTATTTTGAGAGGATAAAGTGAAAATTGCAATAGGCTCATCATAAATAATACTGTATTAACAAATATTTTATTAAAAAATAAAGAACGAACGAAAAGAATAAGAAAGTAAGCTTGAAAATAATTATAATAACTCAACTGTGGCGGGTCCAGGAATTCAAACGAGAGGTGACCCAGAGAGGGACTTTCACGGACTGAGGGTCCACAACTCAGCCCTACCATGGTTGGGGCTGAGGTAAGAAAACATTATGATTAGGGAATTACACTCTCAGACTTAAATTTGAATAAAATTTTCTTTTTTCTCCTTAGCAAAATTTAGGGGGCCTTGAATCCGCCACTACTCAAAACATTCTTTATCCAAAATAGACATACCGTACTCGCACGAATAAGCGCCCGGGCGCTTAAAATATTTTTTGCTCTTTTTGAGGGGCGCTTATTCAAACGGGGCGCTTATGAAAACAGAGTGGAAATTGAGGAGACGTTTATGGAAATAAATATGAAAATTGAGGGGTTCTTCTGGGAACTTGGAAAATTCAATGGGCAATTTCTAATGAAAAAAATTATATAATGACATCCGAAAACCGAAGATTACGAATGGTTCTGGTGCAGAAAAGATAATCTTCCAGAGAAGGCTCGTGACAAGAATTCTGTGAGTTTCAAGAACAGATGAAATTTTGCCATCTGTCGATTGAGATTAGCAGGATCATTGCAGGGCTTCTTGCAAACTCACATGAAAACGTGCTAAAGGTGCAAATGGCCGGGAAAAGTAAAAGAGAAGTAGACATGTAAGAAGAGGAAAGTTGGAAAGATACTGTCCAGGGAGCTCTCATCTCACCGCAGTCTCAGGATCAGTTCGTTTGCTAAAAAAAATAAATTACAAGATATATTGTTTTAAAAATTGAATAAACACTTATTCAAACGGGTCGCTTAAGACAATTTTCACGTTGAAGGGCGCTTTTTCAAAGAAAGCGCTTATTCGCGCGAATACGGTAATCACGAAAAATGGGCATGAAAAACCAGATCACATTCTGAAAACAAATTTATGGACCCTCCACCCAGCAGACACTAAGATATACTCTGAGTGCCAACTCGATGGAGTTAAATGTATAGGGAATTGCGCAGATCTGTTATGAAAGGTGTGTGTGGGGGGGGGGGAGACATTTCGTCAGTTTCGAAAATTTAAGGAGATAGTACCTCTAGATGGCCAGAAATTAAACTTTTAGTAAAATCATCACATCACCGTTACATTATATAGTCAAAATGAAGCGCCAACAGATTTCCCATGATCGCTTATCTTGGATTTTTGGACGGGACTTAAACAGCAGTTGTACAGTAAATTGAATTATGTTGAACTTTAGTTTTTGAATAAAAGTTGTTGTAAAGAGAGATTTTATTAATATGAGTTATGTAGGCCTACCATAGAAAATAAAGCTTAAAACATTGTCTTGGATGTATGTAGGCCTACTTTCACACCTGTACTTCAAAGCCGTGACTTCATAACGACCTCAGCACGGCCATGTTTGGAGCTGATGTGAAAAATTTGAGGAAATAGTTCCTTTAGATAGTCGGAAATGACACTTTTATATAGTAAAGTTCATCATCATCACATCACCATTATATACCGGTACGGTAGTCAAAATGAACCACCAACTCATTTCTTATGATGTCTTGTCAGGGATTTTAGGCAACCATCTAAGTAATATCCTGGACAACTTAGGCCTAACTATAGCTAAAGCTTTAACTACTATAATAATTACAGTATAATTAAAAAAAAATCACAACTTTCGGGAAACGAACCCCTAAAAATACTTTCCCTTAAAAGCATATCACGTTCACATAGTTAAAAATCACCTTATTTTGTGACCTGGCGCTCCCACCACCTACTCTTGTTTAGATGATGACTGTAATATGCTTTTGTATAGTGTAATCACATTCTCCCACAAAGACTAGAATGCAAACTAATTGATAACCTCACGAAATGTAACCTCTGGCTGATTGATAATCAATTGTCCCTTTATCCAACTAAAACTGAATGTATTCTCTTTGGCACTTCTCATAGGCTGAGGAAAGTCGATCGTTTTCAACTGGATTATTCTGGACACATTATTGAAGGCTGCGATTCTGTAAATTACGTTGGTGTCAAGGTTGACCAACATGTTTCCGGGGATTTTATAGCTATCTCAGCTATAAAGAAAGCAAATTCCCGTCTAAAATACATTTATCGCCAAAGTTCGTACTTAAATCAATTTGTCGCAAAATTCTCACAGTGGCTCTCGTGCAGCTTCTTTTCGACTATGGAGCTTCTTCATGGTTTCCAAGTTTTGCAAAAAATTATCTAAAAAAGTTACGCAAAATAAAGCTGTACGTTTTATTTTAAACCTTAAGCCCCATACACATGTTGGCCAACCACAATTATCTGAAACCGGAATGTTATACGTTTCCGATAGAGTGATGTTTTTAAGGGTCTGTCATGAAAAATATTTCATAATTGCAGGTCACCCTATCTCTCCATTAATTTTCACCGTATTTCCATCAATCTTAATACTTGGACTATAGTATTGGCCTTTTGCTTGTTTTTTTTTTCGTAAATTTTTCTAATGAATTTTATGCTTTTTACATTGTGTATTGTTTTAATGATTGTATTTTATATGAGATGCGAATAAATCAAATCAAATAAAATCAAAAACCTAAAATTTGTCTTCCAGAGACATAACAAGCTGTCCCCCTTCTCGTGACCCCTCCCACGCCATGGGAACCCATCTGTGCGATAGTGAGGGTAAACTCTGGATCCGCGCTTGACATGTATTTTAGAGAGGTGCTTAAACATGTATATTTACAGTATATTTATTTATATAAAATAATGCTGCATACTAGAACTATCAGGAATAAACATACAGATAAAGGCATGGTATTTTTTTTTTGCAGTTGACTATTATAGTGAAAAAAACTGAGTTTCTGCAAAAGCTCATGTGTGTTACTTGATTTGGATAAAAGCTAAGCCCACATAGACAACTGAAGCAAAAATGCATCCTCCTAGTTCCTTAATCATCAATCATTATAAATCTTACACTAAAGAGAAGAAAATAATGTAAACTATCATTAGCCGTTCACACCAGATTTCATTTATAAATAAATAAATATAACAATGAAGACGCAAGCATATCTTCATAAACGTTTATTTACGATGATGTAGGGCCTATGATAGGTGCGATAGGCATGGAAAGCACCACACCAACATTTCTTTAATAAGCGCCGCTCTCGAATAAGCACTGCACTGAGCTTTGCTTCCATAAAGAAAAGCATTAAAATATTGAATTGTATTTTTCCAGTTTATAAGCTCAACACAGGAAATGTATCTTTAAAGAACACAAAGCGTCAGAAAAAATGCAAAGAAACTCAATTACAGAACATGATTTATTCACACCAGAATACATCACATATTTAATTTCATACATCTTCAAAGCATGAAAGGATATAGCCCAGTACACAATGCATCAAAATACTACCGGCCCACCATCGGCTGAGTAAATTTGTCCGTGCTAAACTAGAGTGCTAGCCCGAAGGTACAACAATCTGCTGAATACAGTTTGAGTGGATCATCATTAAGCGATGCATCGTCGTGTTACAGTCAAATGATCTTACATATACACCGATCAATTTACAGTGAATATTTTCCCACTATAGAGGAAAAAGCTGCGTGCTTTCTGGGAGGGAATTCTCTTGCGATATCTGTTACAAATATAAATATTGGAATTGTGCGACATACACTGTACATACAGTATTTGTCATCACAACATAGACATCACATGTGCTAGGGGGAACCCTAAAAAGACCCCAATTGCAGCACTCATATAGAGGGCACTCTTTTGACTACCATTACTAATGCAGCCGTAACTATTTGGAATTATGTACTGTATGCCAGTGTGCGCCAGGCTTAAAAGAACTTGAGATGCAATAAAAATGTATTAGCTGAGCATCATGATTTAGTCTCTGTTTAATTGAAACAGAAATTTAAACTTGAGTAGAATTAAAATATTTTATATCTGATTTATAGAATATAAAGGAAAAATAAAGGTAAGTTAAGAAATCAAAAATTAAATATTAAGGTGAGAATGACCAATGTAGGTGTGACACAAACTGATACTTTAATACCTGAAGACCAACAAATGGTTTACCTCCATATTCATTTGAAAAATATGTAAAATAATTTGCTGTTGAGGTCCAAACAATTTATTACAAGATTAAAGAAAAAAGAAACAAATGCTTATCATCAATTTTATCATGTCTGATAAAACTCGGATAAAAACAAATTGTTTAAAGTTCAAATAATATTCAAAAAAATTAAAAAATGGAAGCCTAAACGCCACGATTTTCTAAATCTTTAACTTGGTAAATTCTAACAAGCCAATGCTCTGTAGTATAAGCCTCCTCCAAGACATCCAACTCAAAATCTTTGTTTCCAATCTCTGCATTCCGGACACGATCGTAGCCTGTTGGTTTACCTGAAATCAGAATAATGATGTGAATTAATTTTTCCCCCAAAACATAATTATAGGTTAACAATTTGATTAGCACATAGAATGTTGGTATTTTATATACGGTATATATGCAAGTCAGGTATGAATTATGTAGAACATTTCGTGGTTAACTTGAGGGTGCCATTTAGGGTTTATCCTATGATATACCAGTCATGCTTCATGAAGCTTGACGCGATATTTGTGAGGTCTCACCACAAAATATGTCACATGGTTAACAAAAAATCAAAAATTGAGTTTATATTATATTAAGGTAGATCACATTATAAGCTTAAATTTGGTCTCTGAATGGCTTCCCTAGGATAAGAAGATCCAGAGATGTGAGCATTTAAAGTTTAGGGGTACAACATTTTGAGAAAGTCAGCCTCAAAGAAAAAGTAACCTGTACAAATTACAGAATATGTGCAGAGAAAACTGTTTTAGTAAGAAAATTCACTTAAAAAGTATACAACCATAAAATATAAGTATCAAGTTATTCAAAAACATTAAAATTAAAATTTGGTAAAAATTTTTGACTTTGACCTATTCTTGTGAATATGTCAGTCAATATGATTTCACTAACGATGTGTCTTATTCCGTGGTAAGAGTTCACATATTATTGGCGATTGCTTTAAATTGTAAAAAATTAAACATCTACAACAGGACTGTCCACAATGCCGTCTCTTGTTGTCTCACTGTGTCTGATTTTAACTCGCACGGAAATGATAAATCGCGTTGGGATGCATCATACGGCACTGAATAAGTTGGCCTTAGTAGGTACAATTTTAACTCTCAAATGCCTTGTCCAAGGTGAAATAAAAAGCTCCAACTCGAATCCTTTGTATCAAAGACACAGAACCTTACTTCTACAACACGACTTCCATATACATGATATATCACCTTTTAAAACTCCACCATACAGAAGATATTAAAGGTAAAAAAATTGAGTTGATTTATAATATTAGCTCAACATCACAAAAATGGATAGAAAAAACAAAAACAAAAAACCAAAATTGAGAATACAAGTCATAATGTTGATATCTGGGATAAACCCCCTAAATCAAAAAAATCAAAAAATCAAAAATCAAAAGATTTATTTCCAGAGCAAAATACAATTTTATATTATACAGTATATTGATTTAGTGTGACAACAGTAGTAAAGTTATCTAATGAAGGGATTGGTAAAAAGAGACAAATGGCATATAGCAAAACAATGATGACAGATACTTACTTCCTTCAGTGTACACTTCTCCAAATCTATAATAACACATCTTATACATAAGGCAGTTAAGGAGTGTCGGAGAACCTTCTTTATCGATTCGGAATTCCCCCTGTGGTGTGTAGTAATCATTCTCTTTGATATGGGCACCTCTGTCAGTGCTGCCACCAATACGAACCATCCAAAGGAACTTGTTAATATCTGAAAACAACCGAATTATTACCAATATGTTGAACTGGGTATAAAATGCTTGGACTATTACAATAATTCCAAAAAATTATCATTTATGATGATGATGATGATGATGATGAGGACAACAATGACTATCATGACGATGAAGAGGATAAGAATAAATGCCTGCAATGCACCACATAGAGATAGATCATCTCAATTATGATGATAATGAAGATGACGACGATGATGACAACAATGAAAATGATGACGATGTTGATACTTACCATCTGAGGAATAACCAGTCAATCCACCAAATATTACCAATACATAGTCAACATCCAACTCCCTCATAATTTCATAGGCTTTGTCCTCTGGTGATGCCATTGCCTAAAAAACAATATTATCAATCAGTGCATTTGATTACATACATGAAAACAATTTGTTCTACTTTTAGTTTTATTTTTATTTTTCATAAAAACATGTTCTTTGATCATAATACCAAGTTTTATGTGAAAAAACCCAAATATGGCTGTAATATGACAACATTAGCAATATCCAGCAAATGACAATGTCTTTAAACTGTTTGCTAACTCAAAAAATCATTGTGAATTTGTCATTATAATTTTCATTATCATTTATGGCTTTCTTCTTACTTTTGTTCACTTGTGGTGTTTACTGCGTTGCCAAAAAGAATTTAAAATGTCAAATTAAAAAAAAAAAATATATATATATATATATATATATATATATACAACTTACCTGTCCAACTCTAGAAATATGTGTATTATTCCAGGTATTGTTGTCTACTAAGATGGTACGATTTGCCATAGCTGTTATCTGATAGCCATAATCCCACCAAGACATGATCTTTGCATCCTGAAAAATATGATGTCATTGGTATAAATTACACAAAGAAAAAACGTAAACTAAGAAAAATGTAAACTATGGAAGAAGGCATGATCCCGAGAAGATAAAGATCTTGTGATGGGCATGCCTGAAAAAGAAAAAAAAAATCAATACAGACAAAAAATGAAGAGCCAAAAAAACAAAAAAAAAGGAGAAAAAAAAAAATAAATGAATAAACAAACAAACAAACAACTGAAGTTAATGCAAAAGCAGAACATATCAAATCTGACCGCAAATATTAATTTAATAGAACGACATTAGGTGAAGTTTCAATTTTTTTGAAAATATTCTTAGAGAATCAATGTTTAGAATTGGGGGTGGGAGATTGTTCATCATTGTGGGGCCTGAGTATTTAATATTATGTTTAAAATAATTAGTTTTGTAGGTAGGTATGTGAATATGATTTCTAGATCGAGTGGGGTAATTATGAATAGAGTAATTGGGAACAAACATATTGCATAAATTTTTGGGAAGGACAGAATGCATAGCAGAAAAAATAAATTTACCTTGCTGGACAAGATTAATGTCAGTGAGTTTCAGGAGATTCAATTTGGCAAATAAATGGGAAGAATGAGACCGTGGTGGGACACCATCTATGATCCTGATAGCCTTCATTTTGAGAATTTGCAGTTTTTTGATATTGGATAAATATGTATTGGCTCAGACAATGTTACAGTAACTCACATAACTTTGAGCACACATAATTTTTAAAAGTAAAAGCCCTGTGCACACATGCCAAAATATGGTCATGATGACATCACATCATGAACATATATAGGCACATCTTGACTATATATGGGCATACGTCTAGAAGAAATAAACTCAACTCAATCAGCAGTGATATATCCTGGTTTTCTTTTTATACTTACAGCCATGTGTTCACTGGACTGGACGGGCTGGAATCCAACAAAGGAAATCTGCATTGACAGGATAGTTCCAAGGCAGTAGAAGGCACAGTAGGCCAAATAGATACGATGAGAGAAGCGACCAGTGACCATCAAGGCTAGCACATGCATAGGGATCAAATTGACAAGGAAAACATATCCACCCCATGATGATACCTGTAGATAAACACACGTTTAGTATTAACCAAGAGTCAATGAAAATCATAATGGAAGGTGCTAGCTTAGGTAAGGATCACCATCGTATATTATTATTTACGCATACAATAAATGCCAGCCAAACTGCATTACTAAATTTTAACTACTAGTAGATTTTAAGCCTTTGTTGTATACATTGCATTGTATATCAATCAATCTCAATTGGATAATGTTGTACATATTAAACTCTGTTCTGCTCACTTGTTTTTTGCGCACAGTGACCATTGTATTTTGTGCACTATAAATATATAACCTTTAACCTTCAACAATATCTTACACCTTGCGACAGTAAGTTGCAACCGTTATCACACTGAATACTTAAAATGTCCCCAACTACTAGGGGAACTAAACCCATGACCTCCAGTCACTAGTCCGGTAACGCACCACTACACCACCAAGCTTTTGGTGATAATGGAATTGGATTCATTTCTAAATTGCAGAGATTAATAAATAGTAATAATACTACAACACAATTTGTGCATGGGAAAATGATATGATTCATTTTGGCAATAGCTTGACAACACATCAGGCTGAACAGCAGAATATGACAGCTCAACCTACCATATAAAAGTATGCAATAGCACACAGGCTAGCCCAGAAAATGGAGCCAGTTTTGACAGACTTGATCCAGAGGGTGTATGTTAAGAGCATACAAAAAATGGCAATTCCTTCATTATCGTAAGAGCCTGCTACTGAACGGGAAATGTATCCAGGCACGATGGAGATCATAGCTGCTGCTACAAGTCCAGCACTGGTGTCCTGAAAAAAATGAAACAAAAATACACCAATGCAATATAATGTTGTAACCCTTTAGGTGCTCAACAAAACAAACATAAAACACCTTGAAATTCTTTAACTCTAAAAAATATCCAATATAATTATAACAATGTTGTTATAAAATAATCTTGTGTACCGTAAATGTTGTAAAATTAAGCTTAAGTTTAATAATGGTTTTTTTTCAGTTGTGTTTATAACTGTTGTATTTAGTATGCAGTGTTTTGCTTTAAACAAATAACTGTGATAAATAAATGTTGTAGTTTAGAATTATAATTTTGGTTATCAATATCTTTATATAATTTATAGCTTTTTTCAATGAAATAAAATATCCAATCATGTCGAATTTTCAGAGTTTGATTCAACTACAAAAGTACAATAAAATATGAAAAATCTGACAAATATAATATATGTATACAAATTTTATACGTCATATCAACTGTAGAGGTACTGTATCTCAACAAGTTGAGACAATATTGTATTAAAAATAAAATAATTCCACAAACATTATCAAGCCAATATTGGCATGAAAGATACTACTTGAAACAATAACTTACTTTGAGTTCTTTGGTAAGATGATATGTTACCAAAGTTGTGAGGGAGGAAAAGAAAGGGGCCAAGAACACACAGACATTGCGAACCTCAATAGTAATGTGGAAGAAATTTAGAATGTGGTAAATCACAGCGGAGGTCACCATCAACCCTAAAAGAGAAACAATTTGATACGTAAACAAAAATGTGATTTTAATTAAAAAGATATTTTTCATCAACAATTAAAGTCATTTGATATTGACTGATTTAAAAAGTCTGATAGTGGTTTGGTGGTTCAGATGCTCATCTTACAATCTAGATATCCTGGTTTAAATCCTTCAAACGGTAGGATTTTTCTCACAACTAAAGTAGAGTTTACACTGGACAAGCCAGGATGCTGGGATAATTTAAAAAAATATCTGGTGTGAACAGCCCAAGAAAAGCAAGTATCTATTTTTAATTTACTACATAAGCCACTTGGATATTTTAGCAGAGAAAATTCTTTCAAGAATGAAAAACCAAGTCACCATAGCAAACAGCTTAAAGATTTAGCCATGAATGGTGACGCTGATTAAAAACGGTCTCTGTAAAATTTAATCTACTCAAACATTTGAACACTTTATCATACCTGGATATATAGTTCCTCCAATAATACGTCCAAGAGGATACCATGCCCGATCATCAAACCAATTATGAAAGCTGTAGAATCCTTTCTCGGCAAGAAATCGCGTTGTTCGATAGTTAAAGTATGGATCAAACTCGTGAATCACACTTTCAAACCGCAATACAGAAAACAGACGAGTTGAAAAAGCTAAAAATGATACATTAATTATTATAATAAATTGTTAAATTGTGACTTATCAACCAATCAATAAATTAATCATAAGATAATGGTATATAATATTGTTTAATATCAATAAGTGTGTAAAATGATTTCAGTTTATGAAAAATGGGCAACTTACATAAAATCATACAAGAAACAAGAATGAACAACTTCAAGAGAGTTTCTTGTTTCTCATAGGCCATCCGTCCTAAGAAACCTGGGGGCTTGTAACCTGTTCCAACAGCCATTTTAAAGCTTTATTTGTCAATCTATTAAAAAAGATAAAAAAAAAAACACATGAATCTGGTACAATTTCATACATAGGTTTGTGGTGAATCTCAGCCCTTTTTCCTTTTTTAAAGTATCTGTAGGAAACAAGAGCGACTGCTCACCAGTCCGCGCATTCCTCCACGCTTAATACGGTACAGGCGCAAGTTATTATATTGGGTTTTTTGGAAGAGCTAATAGGATTGAAATTTTTAAATAATTAGGATGCTTATCTGTACATTAAGCATGTTCACTTGTACAAAATTAAAATACTGTATCTTAAAATTGAAAAAAATAAAATTTCTTAAAATTGGAAAAAAAAAAATTAATACCAAGACACAACCTTAAGTTATTTAAAACACATCCTTAACCAACTGCGCCATCCATGCGACATGCCCTATTAGTGGTAATGGAAGTAATGTACAATCCTTGCTGAAACCCGTTTTGTTTTGTAAGTGTAGGGGGATCTCAGGGGTCCAAATTAAAAAAACGTTTGTTGGAAATCACCTCTAGTTTATGTGTACAAAATTTCCTGTATGTCCGTTCACAACTGGCGACGCTGGGCGCTTTTAAAGTTTTGGGTACAAGAACAAGAAGAAGAACAGCAGTGAGGCTCTGCGGTCTGCACCTTGCACGGACCCAAAAAGAGGTTCAAGAAAATATTGTGTTCACATATAAGCAACAAAAGTGATGAATAATGTAATAAGCAATAAAAAACCTTATACTTTAAATTCATTAATGTGGAGTCATTTGCAATTTCTCAGCCAATGATTTTGTCTTCCTCCTTAAACACAAATGCTATCATAATTACTTTAAATAATTTTCTTTTCAGTGGATATTAAGCCAGTAAAATGTCTATCGTTCAAACAAAATGTATAATATTTTAATGATATTTAGTAGGAGGGTGGGTGCACTAACCTACCTTGTACCGATCCCTTGTACCTACCTAGAGGTCCTCTAGCCATAGGGCCTAGCCTAGGGGCATACTGAACAAAGGAGTTTTCCTCACTTTGATGGAAAGATGATACATACTGTAAGCCTATTATTATTATTATTATTATAGGCCTAGGGCCTAGCTGGTCTAGGAGTAGGCCTAGGCCCTAGCCTAACTAGCTAAGAGTAAGAAACAAAGTTTACTTTTTTCAGTTTTAAAACCACACAGACCAGAAAGGAAGAAAATGTGGCCATGGCCTATAATCGTTACATACAAAACACGTCTGAGCATTAATATAAAGCCAGTCTAGGCTGGGCCTAGGTCCCTGAGCCTGGCTAGGTCAAACATATGTCTACCTACAGTGCCTGGCCCATGCCTACGCTAGGCCTAGCCTACCCGAGGGCTCGCCGGTCTGACAGAAGAATAATAATTTTTAGGGCTTAATTAAGACTGCAATCAAAAGAAAGTAGAAAGCAAATTATACTTAAGTATCTAAGTTTAACATAAATACATTTTTAATAAACGTATAGAAATTATTCATTAATACAATATACTTTTACAAAGCTGAAAACACAAAAAAGACCATTACCATCCAAGGCTCCAGTGCAAAGGAATACACGTACGTACGGTCGGTAACGGAACGGTTGGAATTCACTGCCGATTCCCAGTGCAGCACTAGCGATGTGTCAACCAGGGGGCAGCCATTGTAAATCCGAAGGTTTCCGAAAGAAAACGATCTATCTTTTTTTATAGACGAATAATAACGTATCGAGGGTAGCCGAACATTACGATTTGTTCCGACAATTTTATGTCCGAATACGAATTATAATAAATGTTGAAAAAAAGTATGTTCACTGTCTATGAGAACAGTTTTTAGTGATTAATTAGTATTTTTTAATGAATATTTAAATATAATTATCTTTTGCTGCAAGGAACCTCACTTTTCTTATTTGTTGTGCCACGTCAACAGGGAGTGAGATTACAAGATAGAATAATTTTGACCCCATGTCATGGGTCATATCTGCTCTTGGTTCAATGAAATTCACCCCCCGATTGTTAGCTCCAAACATCAACAGTCCGGCGGATCTTCAAAACAGCAGAAAAGGAGACAGTTGATCAGGAGGTAGGGTTTATATAAACGCAAAATGTAATTTTCTGGATATTATTTTTATATATGATATGTAAAGATAACATGTAGTTGTGGTACAGTGATACAGTACATACATAGATATCCGCTATATATTAGGTATAATCATATGGCAAAAGTAGTATCGCATCTGGATGAATGATGCGAATCTGCTGAGTGGATCTTCATCACATCAGCAGAGTTGAGTGATGGCCGTTGTGATGGCCAGATTTTAACAAGGTCGTGTAAATCCGATCCTCTTTCATCATTGTTTACCACCAGTTTCAGAATTGTATTATGTATTATTGTAATATTATTGAAATTGCCTAGGCTAAATAGTAATCTCACAAAAAATAAACCTGCCTACTGTCCTCGCATTGACTGACAGTGAACACTCCTCTACTGAGGACACAGGTGGTTTACTATACTGTGTAGGCCTATGCACGTAATGTGTATTTTATGTACATTTTTGTGTGGGGAGGGTGAGGGGTGTTTATGATTTATTTAAACTCAAAATTGTATTTTCTTCAGTTAAGTTCTTTCATTTGTTTAGCTTTAAGTTGTTGTTTTTCTCTTTGTTCATTAGCTTAATATTGACTGTGCTACTTTCTTGTGTGCTGCCACTGTTGTAAAAGTGTAAACAGTAATGTCAAATAAATATTAATATAAGTGAATCGTGACGTCATCACTGCAACTCCCAATGTCATTTGCCTATTTCCCACCGTCCACTAATTTTTCAATTAGTGGATGCTTGGCCTGATTTTTTTTATGTTCGTGTGCAAAAAAAAAAATCCTCATTTTTTTGTCACCGCGAAGACATCGCACACCGCACAGCTAAATGTAAATACGCACACAGTATACGATCATATCACTATAGCAACCGATGACTGCTAAAACACAGTTGATTATAAGAACTAAGATTAAAAGACGGCGATTGACTTATAAAGCAATTAGTAGAGCATCCATCGTACAATAGTGGAAAATTATTTAATACTTAGGTTAGAATGCATTCAAAAATTTTCTTTGGCCCTTGGAGGCCCCCAGGAAATTTTTTTAAGCATTAAATCTAACCGTCGTATAGTATCAGTAATTTATCTATAGTGTACTATGCGGAGCTCTACTAATTGCTTATTATTAATATTACTACTGTCTGTAGTGATTTCTAGTGAGATAGTATCCTCTCCATGACATGCAGTTGATACAAAATGATGATATATATTGGTTAATTGATTCATTTAGATTTTTTACTTAATTTTATTATTAATGAATATATGATTTTGTTGGTTATAATTCTCATAATTGAGGATATTACCACATGAAAATAATATTTAGAAATGATAATATCAGTCATTCATCAATGAAATTCAAAAGATCATTGAATAGTAGGAAACCCTGACAGTGACAGTGACATTCAGATGTTATGCTGTAAATATGAGTATACAATTTTCAAGCTTTTCTGATTCATTTTATTGAAATCAATCTTGGAACTTTTGCAAACTTTAAAAGAACACGTAGGAAATGACCTTGTATGCCACATAATTGATAGTGTGTGGTTGGTATATTCTTTGCTGGTACTGTATTTTTATTTTTGGGGGATTAATTTACATCTATTGTATCGAGTTAACTAGCTGCATGGGTGCAGGAGTGCCACTTGAAAGTGATTAAACTCCCTTTTGGCAATAAAGCTACCACCTGAAGTATCGCTTTGCTTTAATTTTGTATTTTATAAATAATAATGTGGCGAAATATATGAAATGATATGCATTGCATTTGTTGACTTACGAACCCTACATTACTTTTTTATAGGCTTGCATTTATAATCATGCTGAGGTGACCAAGTTTTTATAAAGTATTAAATAAAAACAATGGCTGAGAATACAGCCCAAGAAGGTGAAACGGCGAAATTAATGACAGCAAAAAGAGACTCAACAAAGAATATAGAATGGAGCCGTTTTGGTTTGGCAGAAGATTACAAAGGAAGTAAAAATAACGCTGATGGTGATACCTACCAACAGACCTCTGGCCAACATGGGGAGAAGATTCAAGAGATTTTCGATGAACATCAAGTAGGTATTAAGTCTCATATGCTTGATTTCCAAACGTAGGCCTACAGTACATTAATAATGGATTTAGAAAAGGACTGCATTCATTTTTATGAACGTGTATCTGAAAAGTGCACTCAATGAATGGTATATGCTCTCTGAAATTTGACTCAATCTATTAAGGGTCGCCTTTTGCAAAACATTAATATTCGTTATTAATACTTTTAACTATCAGTCTTTGCAAGTCTCGCCTTTCTTCATAATTTTTTCCCATGAGACACCTAAGGATTGCTTCTGATTGATACATTTTAAGTTGCATTAAAATATAAGAATTACACATGAATATTACAACTTGTTAATTATTTAAGTCAATTAATTATACTTTAATTTAGAATATTGATTACACATTCAATTGATATGTTACAAGCCTACTGTCTATGCATTGCAATAAAAATTTATATATTATTTTAGTCAGTTGGTTTAATTTTTTAGTTGTCAAAAACTACATTCATATTACCATGGAGGTATAAATTACAAGCAATGGTGATGCTTTACTGTCCAATACAACTAGCTTGCATAAATTGACCTTTAGTGTGCATTAAATACTACAAAAATGCTGTAAACTGCCTCCGTACAGTAATGGTTGTGATGAGCAAATATAGATGTGAGGTGGTGTAATATAAAGGAGCTTTGCACAGGCACGTTAAGTTTTCATGAATCGTAAATGTTTTATGAAATTGTGCTACTTCATTATTTGTTAACCTGATTCACAAATAATGCTTAAGAAAAACGTCTTTTTCAATTACAAACCTTTTCCAAACGTTGTGAACAACATAAACTAGCTTTGATACTCACTCAAGTTCAAAATGTTAGGTCTTATGCATACAGTATTTTGAGGTCCAACTAATAGCTTTTTTCATCATGCATACTGTTACCTAAGCGTCAGCTAACAATTTGAAGACATGTGAATGTACTGCTGGTTCTGTGTGCATAGTATATGCGTGTTGAAAGTGTACGTTTTTTCATTCATGGCAAAAATGATTAAAATACTAAAGATATTTGCACAGCTATACAAATGCCAAAGTCGTTTATGCTGTGTATATCCACCATACACAAGATACACATTATGCTTAATAATACTAATAATAAATTAAGATAGGCCCCTACAGTAATTAGTTTATCCTGGTCCATTGTGATAAACAATATAGACTTTTCTACTTACATAAATACCGTTAAATTTTAACTAGAATTCATTTATTTGATTAAGTTTTCATTAAATCCTCATTAAGTTACTACAGTACATAAGATTAGTTATTGTTACAGCAGGATCAATCAGTCGTTGCAATTTCATCGTTATTATGAAATTGTAAGTTTTATCACTAAAGAGGGAATCATGACAGTAGTATTAATTTTGACTTCATTGGTTCAAGCCAATAACAACATCTGCTGTTGAATACCAGCTGTTCCCTAAAGGTATTTTATCTGTCGGTCACATTCAATCAATTATGCCACCATCATTGCCATCATTTAATCCTCTATATATGTCCTAGCTAATATTTTTCTCCATGTTATTTTCTCCTGGTTATCTTCTTCTATTTCCGAATACAGACTTCATCTTTCTCAACACAACCAAATATTCATTCTACTGTAGTGTACTACTTTTCTAACTGTAATCTAACAAAGCATCTTATTCATTCATTCATTCATACATTCATTCCTTCATACAGTACATTCATTCATATATACATTCATTTATTCATTCTTACATTCATTCATTCCTTCATTTGTTTTTTCGTTCATTCATTACTTACTTCATTCATACATGTATCCATACGTACAGTACATTCATTCATTCATTCATTCATATGTTTGTACATTCATTTATTAATACTTGTACATTCATTCATCCATTCGTTCATTCATTCATTCATCCATTAATTAATTAATTCATTCATTCATTCGTTCATCCATTCATTCATTCATACATTCAGTCACTACTCTATTGATCTACAGTATTGAGCCATTTCATGTGAAGAATATTATGATACACAAAATCATTTAAGTAGACAATTAAATAGGTCATCACTGATATGTAAGATTAATGTATGAAAATTATGAAATAAGCTAATCATTTAGACGATTTGTAGGCACAATGCTGTATAACTAATTCAGGAATCTTACATATTATAATTGTTATCTATTCACTACAGTATTATACCATTAACAAAAAGCAATGGAAATTTAATGGTTTAAAACTTGTCTTAATTAAATGACCAGTTCAATGTGTTTAATTTAATTTGTGAGGGTTTTAATATACCACAAAGTATGAATTTGACAATAATGATTTAATAAGCAGCTTGGTGCATAATACGTGGTCTCTATGCACTGGTACAGGTATATACTGTAGTAGTGTTCTACCATGGAGTATAAAATTAATACCACATTGGTTCTACTGTACTTGAAATTGCATATTTCAAGATTTGTAGGCAACTTTACTACAGTACCTTTTAGTTACGGCATGTTCATTTTAATAATACTGTGTTCATTTGTGATTTCTGCTTGGTTTGAATCATGTTGTATAGTACAGTACATTATTTGCTACAGAACACAATCACAAAACCTAAATCAAGTTGATGCATTGATGATGTCGTCACCACTTCTAATCATATGCTGTATCTCGTGAATTGTGTGTACACAGTGAAATGATAAATTTAGGGAAAGTGTGGGTGTTTAGCTATGCTACATTGCAAATGATAAGTAGGCATCGATAATAAGTGAAGCAAGCTTGTCAACCAAACTGAAGAAAACAACTGCTGGCAACATATGCCACTTGTCAGTGCATGATAATCTGACACATAATGGCATATAGCGTGCAGTAGTGTAGTGCAAATTTCAATTAAATATGATTAATAGTTGCTGATGATTAGTAGAGAGGCTTACAATACAAGTCATGCTTTTGTTACAGCTTGTCAGTGTTACTATCGTTACTTAATTTTATTTTTTTATGTGATGGTTTTTTTTTTCTGAATCATCTTAAATTAATAAATAGTTCTGTAGTCAGTAAACACTCCAATAACTTTAAGCATTTGCTGATTAATGATCACAATTAGCTTCAACACTTCATTTTCTTTTTTTATTATGTTTATTTACATTTGGCTTTAATTTAATGTCTCATTCTAGAATGTAACATTTATTTTAACATAAATTATATCTCATATATTTTATAACATCATCTGATAGCAGGCACAGGGACTGTATGACCCCATGGCCTTTGCCTACAGGTAGGGATTATAGTCACTGTCACGTACTACTGAGGGAGCTGCGCTTTTGTAAAGCAATGTGACCTTAGGGTAGATTCACTCTTCTATTCGTCTCAAAACTGACCTAGAATTTAGATGTGAAAGAAAACTGTCTCGGCATACGCACTCTTTGCGATAACATCAAATCCTGGATGTTATTTTTGAGTAGGTAATGACAACAAACAACAACATACAGTCATAGCCTAGGCATAGATTAAAATGAATGTTCTTTTATTGAACAAAGACCAGCCTAGACTACCTACAGTAGGCCTAATAAGCAGGGGTTTTTAAAATTTTACAAATATACAATTTTTACTGGTTGGCTGGTTATTTTTACCAGTAAAATTGGCGGCAAAATTGGCTTTGGGAGAACACTATTTACCAATTTTTTAAAATATTCTGTGCCACACCAATGTTGTTCATTACACTTTACACAAGAACCAGTAAAATTTTGCCCAGGCAGTGTTCCTATTTTTTTGCCGATTTTAGACTCAAAATGTTCTTATAATTGTTCTTATTTTTACACACTTTTTAAGCATAGAAAATTATTATTGTATAAGCAGTATATTAGTGTACTGTATTATAGAGGGTTATATTTCATACAGTAGTCACACCTACTGTACTGCACATATACTGTAGTACAAATTTGATTTCTTGGTTTTTCTATTTAAAATGAAATAAAAACCTGATTTTACGTTTAGTTTTAAGCGATTTCAGCCTCAGTATTCTTATAAAATGTGTTCTTATATAAAAAAAAAAGTAATAAGGTAACAGACTGATGTACAGTACATACTGTACTGTACATGTATTGACTATCATAAAGCTAGTGGGAGCCGTGCAATCAAAGAGCAAATTTACACTATACTGATTAGTGCAACTGAATGAACCTTGTAAAATACACAAACTGTTACGTTTGCTTACTTTAACCATAACAACAACAAGTGGCATGTTTTAGCTTGGAATTGATCTCTAAGACCAGGATAGAACACCAGTGATGTTGGACTTCGCCCATGTCTTACTCCCAACACTCTCGTAGTCATTAATTTATTAATTTTTTTGTCAAATTAATATGGGGATAAAATAAATTTGTTCAGATACTATAATATTAATTTACAAATTATTTTTCATACACAATTTTTTTTTGTGATGATTTATAGTGAATTTCAAAAGTTGTATTGAATGCTATCCCTACAGACTTACAGTAGATAAACCTCGTATCTAAAAGCATCAGTTACTAAATTTAAAATATGTCATTATCTAGACCTGTGCCCTCTTATATTAAAAAATTCTATAGTAGCATATCAAAATTACTTGCTGTAAAGTGCTATTAATATTATAGGCAGCCTGATTATAGGTCTACTTTCACTAATTAATCTTTCTAGACACAGTTTAAGGCTATATAATAATAGTCGATGCCTGCAGACATCAGATTTATATTAGAATTTAGCCCCTAGAAACTTGTTAGAAACAATTTTGCTCAGGTAAAAACAAATAATTTTTTTTTTAGTAATAACAAAAGAATGAATACAGGATAATAGTCAAATAGGTTAGTAACTATGTACAGTATACTATGACAACTATGAGTTGAAATAAGTATGTAATACTGTAAAATATGAAAAAGCATGTTTAAATTAGCACCAGTTGTTATTGTCAGATGTTAAATTTTGTGTGTGTGTACTATACAAAGTTGTATTGAGCAAAGCCTATAGTTTTGTGAACTATGAACGTGCCAAGTAGTGAATATTATGCTATAAATGGTGAAGAATAATTATTTAATCCATATTTCTGCAGTTTCATGACAATGCGGTTGTCATCCAGTTGGCATGACATCATATGAAGCTTCTTACATTATAGCTACAGTAAATTATAATTAATACATCAATTTAATATTTGACCACAAAAAACAGGTAATTTGGTTTAAACAGTGTAATTTTTATTTTGAAATTTATAAGTTATTATTAATTGTAATTTACAGTATCAAGTGAATATTTTTGAATAACGGATGCATAAATACGTCAATACTATTTGATAATATTTGCATAGACCCTTATTGTTTGTTAATAAATGGAGTTTTGTAGTTAAAGAGTCCATAAATCAGTGACAATTAAATTCCTTTGATTTTTATCAATGAAAGTTTATAACTTAAAAATTTAAAAAAAAATGTTTTTCATATCAGTTATACTTCAAATTAGAAATTTTTTCAAGTTCTTTTATCCTTTAATTTTAAATAAAATATGCAGCTTTTAAATTTTATTTTTGAAAGATTTTCCAGATGTTATTGCCAGACAACAAACATTCGTTGCTACTGTAAATGGTTGTCTTCAGTATAGCGTTGCTTCCGTCGCCTTATTAACTCTTGAGTCCAACAGTCTACATTTTACAAGCTCATTGGATACAGTACATTTTGCTAATTATTCAAATCTTGATCAATCCTCATTTTTTCCTCGTTAACAGTTTTGAGCACAATTGAGCAAAGGACGATCAGCACTACATACACATTGCAAAGGTCAACTATTTTGTTTTCAATGGATTGTAGAATGATTTTTCATACCATTATGTTTATAAAGCTTGAGGGTGCTACAATATACTGTACAGTACATTAACATTTTTAAAAGAGTTAGGAATTGAAAATCTTATCTTAGCTCCATCTCACAGATTTGTGTGATTTCCCAAATATAATTTTTAAAAATATTCAGTGGCAGATTCAAGGGTGGGAGGAGGGAGCATCCAGCCCAGGGCCACTACTCCCTTCCCCCCTTAATTTTTCAAAATTGAAAAAATGGAGGAAAAAGGAAATTATTGTCAAATTTAAGTCTAAGAGTGCTATTTCCGGTGCCATGATCATAATTTTTCTTAGGTCAGCCCCAAACCATGGTGGGTCTGAGGTGGGTGGAACCTCTTCAAAATTCTCTTTCTGGGCCTCGACCTATTTCTAATTTCTGGATACAGTATGCCACTGATAATTATGTTGTTTATGCACAGTTACAATTTCGTTAGAAAGTGGGAATCACTCCAGTAACCTCATTTTGTATTGTAAGGCAAGTTTATCAGATTATGATTTTATAATAGTTTTGAAATAAGTAGAAACAGGAATCAATATAAATATTACAAGCATGAATGCATTGTCTGAATACAACTCATTATCTATACTCTTTAGTATGGTAATTAAATTTATTGTTATCTAAAAAAGATATTATTGTTACTGTACATTATTTCTCTCTTTGTCCAGTAATGATGAGTTTTCAGGTGATGTTTCAAACGAGCATTTGGTACACCATTGCTCTATAATTTGTTTTCATCTAAAATGATGAACCTTACTTAAAAGCATCTCTTTCTCAAGTTACAAATTTAATTTTCCGTACCTCAGTACCACTCAGCACACGCTGCCGATATAGAAATCCTTTTTTCTAATTCTATTCATCTACACAATACTAATGTTAAAAGATGTTATTATTTAAGTACAATTTAGGCCTATTTAATTGTTGTTATCTGTATGTTCTGTATACATCATGTGCAGTATAACGGTATATATATTGTATTGTGTTTATATTTTTACTTGCTAATATAATCTTTTATTTTAATTACAGTACTGGATATGTTTTTTAATACTTTGTAAAATTGCCAGTTGGAAACTAATTTGTGATTTTTCGAACAATAATATCCTTGAATCTTGTATCTAAATATCTGTTGACAACCTGTGCATATGAGCTGATATTAATGACTATTGTTGTAAATGCTTTCTCGTACCATGAAGGAATTAGTTTAAACTCCATGCTAATAATTATTTAGGCCTATTTTATGCTTCATATTTTTTGGGTTTACAGTATTTAGAGTCACATTTTGACAACATTTTTAAGCATTAGGAAGAAAAAAATTCATTCTTTATACAAATGATAAATTAGAATTTTTTTTTTTTTTTTTTGGTTAATCTAATTTGTGTCCATTTCTTTTTTATATTGATATATGAAATTAGAGAAAACTTTTCACTTTTGAAATAGACTTCAATTTTATCTCCTGCCCATCGCTTTCCAAACAACAAAACTTTTTATTGTATCACATTTCCTAGTGGGTTGGAATGATATAGTTTGATGAGTGCTTTATGGTAGTTTAATTTTTTCTAATCAGAATTTATTATTGAAAAAAGACAATTAATCTCAATGCTTTATTATTATAATATGATATAATAATGTATTATTTATATGTAGTATAATATTTTAGTATTTTACTTTTGTTTGCTCAGTATGTATTTCAATATGTATGTTTTTCAATATGTATGTTTGTGTTTTTCTGTTTTTGTTTTGTTGTTTTTTGGTTTTTTTTCATTTTTATCTTCGTGCAAAAACAGTCTTGTGAAAAACACCGATATGGTGATACAAGTTTTCTACGTTTTAAAATAAAGTTGTTATTATTATTATTAATATTATTATTATTATTATTATTATTATTATTATTATTATTATTATTATTATTATTATATGATATATATTCTGTTTTGTTGCAGAGTGGAACAGGGCATAAACCATGGTGGAAAGCTAACTTCTTCATTAAGGAACCGGTACTTTTTGGGACATGGGATGGTGTGTTTACATCATGTATGATAAATATATTTGGTGTAGTTATCTTTTTACGAACAGGATGGATGGTGGTAAGTCATGTTTATTAGAAAAATACTAATTGTTGCTGATGTGTTTGTCCGTTGGGTATTTGGGTCTACAAACCTTTTTCAACCCTGTGGCATAATTACCGCTGCAAAACATGTCTCTAGTAGATCTTATATGCAGTTCATCAAAAAGAGATTCCCCAGATACCACAGGGATTGACAAAAAGCAAATCTAATTGCTGGTGTGTGGCTCTCCTGAGGTTGGATACTTTAATTATGTTTGGATTATAGTAGTAGTGTATGATAATAAAGTAGAAAAAGGGTCATTAAATGTCTTCTGCATATTTCAACCATGGTATTAAATATTTCACCTAAAAAAGTAAATCCAGCCTGGCAGTTTCGCTCTAAATACATGTTTTTACATAGTATTCATTTTTAACATGATCTGTTCCTAATTCAATTTAACTTGTTCCTCAGGGTAATGCAGGAATAGGGTTGTCTGTGTTGATTATCTTCATCACAGTGATTGTAGCTTTAGTTGCAGCTTTGTCGGCAATTGGCATTTGTGAAAGGTGTAAGATACAGAGTGGTGGAGTCTATTTTCTGTTGTCACATGTATTAGGGAGTAGAATGGGAGGTACTCTTGGCATCATGTATGCATTTGGTCAGGTAAACATTAGTTTCCTTTCTGCCTTTGAAGAAATCATATTTATATTTTTTGTATGCCTATCAAACCCATTTATTAATTTATTTTGAAATTATTATTTAACTCTAATTTCAAACTCAAATTTCTCATCGGATATGTTTTCATTTCATTTATTTGTTTCAAAAACATTAAAATTTACAGGAATAGAAACAGCAAGGAACAAGCACAAACAAAAATGAGATAGGACACCCCAAAAGTGAATTATTGTCAACTGGGGATCCTTCTCAAAAAACAAATACTGCCAATATAAAATTTTGCTTATTTTTTACTGTATATGAAACAATCAAAGTTTAAACATTAAAAAATTTGTTTTTAAACCATACTATTTGATCGTTTAATGTCTGAGTGATTCAAGTTTTTATAATTCACCACAGATACTGTTAATATAATATTGATTGATTAATCGGTTGAGAGATAAAATATATATATTTTTTTTAACAGACAGTTGCATGTGCTTTGTATTGCACTGGTTTTGGTGAATCTGTATCTGAAACACTAAACTGGGACAATACTTGGGCAGTGAGAGGTGTTGGTATTGGCACCATTTTGCTTTTGCTGGCTGTCAACATTGCAGGCGTCAAGTGGGTTATTAAGATGCAGCTTATACTCTTAGCTATATTATGTGTTGCAACATTGGATTTCGTTGTTGGGACATTCACACATTCTGATGCAGGTAGGCTGTAATTAAATTTTCTTATCTTTTAGTGCCATCTTATCACTCTGACATTATCAGCATCATTGTCATCAAAATAATCCAGCTCAGAACATCTCTGAAATTATGCATTTTAGTCTAAATCTAACTATGGAACAAAATATTTTGCTGTTGCTTTCCCTGTCTTATGAAACAAGTTTCTAGCCTCCATTTGTTAAAATAAAAGCCCTATTCATGCCTTTAAAAAACAAATGAAGTCCTAACTCCTCCACCGCCACTTCCATCAGAATAATTCCTATCATTCCTTCATCCACATACCATATCTAGCTGCTAATGCTTTTGTTGGAAGTGGTAAGTAGGACAGGTTTTTGGGATTGAATGTTCCTTTCTAATATATTGGTCTGTAAATTTGAGAGATGCAATACAAATTAATTACTATATACTGCAACTGGTTTTGTGTGTGTGTGTGTGTGTGTGATTTTTTTTTTTTTTTTTTTATTTGTCTTCTGGGTTGTGCAGTATTGGTAATACTTAGACTTAATCACCAATTTGAGCAGTATATTTTAAATGTATTTCCTCTCTGCTTTTTTTTGTTATATAATTGATATAATTGAACAACTACTTTAACATTTGAGATTATGATTATCATAAATTATTGACATAACAAACATGCCACTGTTTAATTCTGTTGTTATTCAAATTACTTGGATATTAAAGTTGCATTTTTAAACCTACCACATGCAATGTGTGTCATTGGTTTTTTACAGTTAAATCTTTTTACTAATAATATAATTCTTTATAAATACACATACGTTGCACCACCATGGTTTTGGCAGGTGAAACTGTATCCATCATGTTTAGCATCCTTTAAATAACTGTTACACAAGAAGGAAGTACTTAGCAATTGAGTCCACACCTGATAGGTGTGGTGATTATTTCCTTAAATTTGATGATCATTTGCGCTCATTGTACCGCAAAAGCTAATTAACTTATTGGCTCTTGTTTCAATTCAGTTGGTATTTTCTACTTTCTCCATTGATAATGTCCATATTTTTTTTCCATTGATATATAATTTTCTCCACTGATACATTTGAATTTTCTTAATTGGTACATAATTTTTTTTATTATTATTTAAAGTTGATTAGTAATTTTAAAGGTTTTAACAAATTTTAATGTTTGTTTTTTTTAACCAACTTTTATGTAATATTTTTTATGTAAGGACACCAACGGAAATAAACCGATTCAGTTTTTTGGGGTTATCCTATAAAGCACAGTTCCATAGTTAAGGACGTACATTTCAGAGAAATGCTATAACAATGACAACTATCTATGTTATGGACGTACGCAGAGAAAATGACTTTTTCGAACATAACATTAAACATTTTAAAAACTCTGTGAGAATGTGCCCCAAAGTTTTACTAAATTATCTTTTTATTGTTCATTGTTTTGTTATATGTAATGTGTTGAAAAGATAGTTTAATACATACTCCAAGTATCGAAATGCACGCCATTTTGTCGGGATTCAATATTAATTATGTCATCATCTGGAATTCCGAATTCCTGATGGTGCCATAATTAATGTCGAAATATTGAATCCCGACACGATGGCGTGCATTTTGATACAAAATTGTTGTAAAGAGTATATTCTATGCTAACTTCATTACATTTTAGACGATTTAATAGATACCACTTTCAACTCCGCTCAATTCATTAGCATATGACTTTACGATGTAAACAACTTTTAATACCCAATCGGCCAAATTTTGATGACGTCATCTTTGGTGACTAATTCGGTCTATTGGACAACATAATAATTTATATTTCTTTTGGATTAAATATTGTATTATTTTATATTTATATATTTATTTTTGTTTTTAACCATAAATTTAGCATTCTTTATGAAATTATCAAGTGGATGCCACAATTCAATGTTTAGAATACAGTACATTTTATACAGTATATTAATCCATCACAAATTCAACTTCATTTTTGATTTCATTTGATTCTCATTTGAGATGTAGATCACGATGTGTCGAAGCATTCCCACGATAGCAATGTTTTTGCAAGAGGGTTAACTCAGTTCTTTTCAACCTCACTGGAATTCTAATGCATTTTATTCATGTCTTAGCTACAGTATTCGTTACTGAACAATAAAAATATGTAATACATCACTTACATTAATTGTAAATCTGCAGTATTATTATAAGCATGTTGATATGTTAATTTTTTCATGGAAATATATTATATTTTGTCCATTGATATATTTCTAATTGAAAATTTGTTTAAAGTTATTAATAACTAATAACATCAAAATTATTATATAAAACTTTATTGACACTTTTGTAACAATCCCAGGAAAAAGAAAAATAAACCAAATAAATAAGGCCAAATAAAATTAATTGTTAGTTTCATGTACAGCATTTGAAATTATTGTTTTGGTAAGGATATTTGCTATTTTCCATTTACTATACTATGTAAGTGGTAAACCCGTTGGTAAATAGTTTTAAAAAAATGTTTATAAAAGAAGTAAAATGAAGCTTTGTAATGTATTCTGCCATAATAAAATTAATTGTTAGTTTCACGGCATTCAAAATTATTGTTTGGCAAATAGCAAGTATTCTTACCAATTTACTATCCTATAGTGGTAAACAGGTTGGTAAATAATTTTTAAAAAGAAGGTTTATAAAAGAAGTAAAATGAAGCTTTGTAATGTATTCCGCCATTTGTTTCTACCTTAACTTTGACTTTGACAACAGTGTTTCAGATATCAATATTTTGTAATTTCTATAATTTTTTTTTTTTTTTTTTTTAATTTTAAATAGCAAATAATGAATTTTTTCATGAGGCAGGCTCCAAAAGTTGGTAATGCGCAGGCAGGGGCGGATCCAGAGATGTCCAAAAGGGGGGGAGGGGACCGATTGAGACAACACTGAAATAGGAGGTCCGGGTGCATTCCCCTGCAAAATTTCTGTGTTTTAGACGCCCGAAAATAACATTTGAGGCGTTCTGGGCTATCGTTTTTTCTTTCTTTTTTCCTTTTTTTTAACCTCTCAAAGAGGAGGGCTACGCCCCTGGGGGCAGGCACATGAAACTAGCAATACATTTTATTTGGTCTAAATGTTTAAAATGTAAAGTGAGACACAGGTACCTTGCTGTGTGTTGTATCATATACACATTTGCTGATAGAATGCTTTACACACAGAGACCCATTAAAGCATGGCACGTCTCATAATTACCTTAAATTTATGACCATTTAATGCAACTATTAAAGCTATCTGCACCATTTGAAGAAATATAGCTCTTTCTCGATGCTCTTTACTTCAATAACTTTACTATGAATCACTCCCCATTTGACAGTTATCTTTGATGACCCAGTTTGTAGCCAACAATGTGTTAAAACTTCACAGAATACTGTAAACTAGCTTTCTAAAGCCATGCACTTGCTATGCTTGACGGTCGTCAGCTGATGTAATTTACCCGCGTAACGAATCATTTTTAAAGAGGACCTATTCAGAATTCAACTGACAATCAGCAGACGGCATCGCGTCGTCTAACGCTCACAGGGCGTGGAGTTGTACGATGCAGTACCTGTAAGTGCTCGGTTAACGGTACAAAAATAAAATTATGCAAATTAATTACTTTTTGTCAAGTGACAGCTTCATGAAAACAAGGTATAAGAAAGTTTTGTCATAAATTGAAGTTGTTTTATTCGCAGACAATTGGAAGACAAGCTTTGAAAACCACAAAGCTATAACTTAAAGCCGACACAGAAGAGTATATAATATGCTGACATAATTTGATGCAATACACAATATACAATATGCTGACAGTTTTATGCAATATGGTGACTAAGCATACAATACAATGTTTGAAATGCAGACTCAATAATTGTAAAGTTCAAATTTCAATTCACAGCCAACATATGTTGGTTAGCTATGTCGGATAAAACCACCAAGCTATACATTAGCTCTAATTCAAGTTGGGTGAATGACCCTGGAACCTACCACTAAATAGAACCTAAGTCCTTGTCACTTTGTTGTTTATGTTATATTTTCTCATCTATATTATTATTTTTTGCCATTGAGTCATGAGAATTATGATAACGTGTCAGTATAAAGGGGCTTGAACCTGTCGATATGTTCTCACTGGAATTTTAAGTGTTTTTGTATGATTTCAGTATTAAACAATTCAAATTAAAAAAAAACAAAAATAATATACCAAACACTGTAACCACCATATCGCAACTGTAATACATTATCGATCCATCAAGTTTTTACTGTAAAATACTCTCGATATATTTGTACAGGCCTTCTTAAAGGTCAAGATTTATTTGTCAATATAATTTAATATTTTTAAGTAAAGTAAATACACATACAGTACATCAGGTATTTTAATACTCACAACTTCATGCCTAAATGCTCTCATTGTTGGCAAAAGCACATCGTATTCCTCAGTAAATAGAATAATATAAATGAAAGGTTTCCAATTTTAATTCTGTGGTCACTAGGAACAAGCTAGTTAAGTTTTTTTTTTTTTTAACTTCTTTTTTATTGACCCTGTTTATCTTTATATGTATATCGATGAATATTGATTTCTGAATTGGAAATAAATTTTCTTTTCAGCAAATGGTTTCCTTGGCATCGGTAGTAAAACATTCAAGAATAACACTGGCTCAAGCTACATGCCGGGTGAAAACTTCTTTACTGTATTTGGTGTGTTTTTTCCGACTGCAACCGGTGTAATGGCTGGAATAAACATGAGTGGCGACTTAAAGAAACCTCATAAAAACATTCCACACGGTACATTGTCAGCTATAGCAGTTACAACCATCATGTATTTAGCATTTTCACTTCTACTTGGTGCAACTTGTACAAGATATGCTTTACAAAATGATTATATGATAGCAGAAAAGGTAAGCTTATTATAGTTTGTCCTTCAAAATTTGAAACCACCTACAATATGGGACATATTAGTACATTTAAGGTGTTCTCGGGGTTCGGTCTTCAATTACAGGGTTTACTTTATGTTATAATTGAAGATTGTTATTTTGTTCTTTGAAAAAGTGGTCTTGAATAAGGGTCTCTCCAAATTAGAGTGGTGCACCATATTATACTTGTAAATTCTGAATCTAGTAAATTTTCCATATGATAATTATATGACCAAATATTTTAAATTAAACATGCTGTCTTTTGGCAATGTACGTTCTGTCCTTTGCCACTTGTATATGCTGTTGCCAGGTGTGATAATTGTCAATTATATATTTTTAAAACTGTATTCATTTGGTAACTTGCGCAAAAATGTCAGTTATCGTGATCAGTCATTTTGTATATAAAAACACTTGTTTCGATTCAAAGCAAAAGAGCGTGAAAAAAGCATCGGTTTTGTAATTTATATGCCAGAATTTGATATCAATACTGGAGCTGTAACTTACTTGAGCAAGTCTGTCACAAATCAAGTAAGTTACAGCTACCAGCATTGATATCAATGCTGGTAGCTGTAACTTACTCGATTTGTAACAAACTTGCTTAAGAACGTCTTAAGGACATTGGCTGATATATTTTATCAATAAATATGTACCCTCAGTTATCTTTGATTGATCTAGAGTGCCCCAAATATCCAGATTATCAGTATACCTGATAAGTGACAGATATCAATGATATAAGAGGAACTATTTTGAATGACATTGAGACAATTTTACAATCTTATTTATCATTATAGCTGTTAATTTTCTTCAGTTATTTCAGTAATGCATTTGAAATAATAATCTATCATTACTTTTTTGGTTGCAATTAAGCAAAGCTAGGAGGGCAATATTATAACAAATTAAATAACTTAAACAAATTAACAATAATTTTTTAAGTAAACCAACATAATAATAATGTGTGTGTTCTAAAATATAAACTTTAGTACATTTTGTTAGAATTTGTATTGATAAATGCCCATAAAATGTATCTTGAAATTGTTTAATTTTTTTTTTTCAGGTATCTCTAGTAGGGTTTCTATGGTTACTTGGTTTATACATATCAAGTTTATCTTCCTGTCTCGGTGGATTATATGGAGCACCTAGAATACTCCAGTGCATTGCTAATGAGAATGTTATACCAATTATCAAATTTATGGGCCATGGAGTAAGTATCAAACAGACACATATCATGTACCCTAATTTACATAATTCTATTCGTTTATGTACATAATTGCATTCTCTGTACATATGTCTTTGATTGAAAAGAATACCTCATTTTAGTAAATTAAATAAAAATAAATAAAGTAATTCTGAATTAAAATTAAGACATACTTTTAATTTATATTGAATATATTTTAATGAATGATATTATTAAATAAAATTAATGACATATATTTACAATCACTTGATTATAGATGATAAACTTAACTATAATTAAATTCATTGGCCATTAGTGAATCAACTGGCATGTGATATGACCTTATTGATAAACAATAACATAATTAAACTATATAAGAAATATATTAAATATAAATAAAGATTCCCATTAATTCTTAAATTGTCCTCTTACATGATATCATAATTAAAGTTATATGTTAATATATTATAAATTTAGGAGTTATATGCTAAATTACTTTTTTAATGAAAATATGGATAAATAATACGAAAGACTCAGTCTCCATTTTAAGATATGTTGGCCTACTCTTGAAGACATTTTTAAGGATTGATACTTCACTGTTGTGGCCTCTTAAATAGCCCCTTATGATCAGCTTTGCTACATAAATCACCTTTATTGAATATGGTTATGGTTTTAGAAAGTGAATTTTAATGCATAAGCTATTCTAACTCCTATGCTAGTTTAAAACTGTTCAGAGATATATATCTACCTTGCATATCAAATTGGATGTACAGAATCTGTTCACACACAAAGATGTCCAGTGTCTACTGCAAATCAAAATACCATAATTTTTATAACAGAATTAATTGGCTTATTAAATTTCAATTTAAAAAATTAAATCCAGTTGCCTGGTTGCTGACAAGTGCTATCATCAATGCCCTTAAATTTGGGATAATCTAAATAAGAACAACAATTCATATAAATTTATAATAATAATATTAATAATAATAATAATAATAATAATATTAATAATAATAATATTAATAATAATAATATTAATAATAATATTAATAATAATAATAATTAAATATTCATAATGCACTAATTTCAAATAAATGATTAAAGCACAGAGAATACAACTAGAGAAAGAATTTAAACAAATATATGAAGAATTGTACATTTAAAAAACAAATACAGTAATAATGTTTGTGATTGTCTATGCAAAATTTAAAATTTTGTAACATTCATGCCTGGAATTAGAACTAGATCATGGTTTAATCTTGTTGGGACAGTTCCAAATTACACTGGCAAAAATTGGAATCTACTACCTCTACAGCAATTAAAGTTTGTTTGCATTAAACAGGGCCAATAAATATTAAGGTCAGAATGATGATTTTGAACAATATTGGTATCTCATAGGTTTCTCCTCCTTTAATACCACTATGGGATGCATATTTGGTTTGATGTAAGTTGAGTAGATTTTGAAATACTGTACCAGAGGTTACCATGTATAGATTCTGTAGTTGGGTATGTTGTACAATTGAGTCACTACTGCACCTTGTCTCACTAACATAAATTGCATTCATAACTCTGCATTTAATGTTTGGTTACATTTGTATATCGCACATATAACATAACGTATGTAATATTAAGCAATTAGTATAGTTTCATATCATACAATAGTGGAAATTATTATACGAAGGTTAGCTTAATGCATGAACAAATTTCCTGGGGGCCTGCAAGGGTGAGTCTGCCCTTTCTTTCCACGTGCGTGCGCCATAGTTGTAGGTGTAAAAAAAAAACACTAGCCAAGAATTCATCACACTGTGCGATATGGTGATACATACAAGTTGTTTTGACCTATTGTACACAAATCGGACAAGGTCGTAAACTGTGCACTGATGAAAAATTAGTCTACAATTTGAGATAGGAAAATAACATTAGGAGTTACAATGATGATGTCAGGATTGACTTATAAAAAATATAATAAACCATTTATTTCCTAATAGATAAACACATGCAGTACTGTACTTTAACTTTAATAACAAAGCTATATAATTTTTTAAAAGCACAAACATTTTGAAATAATAAATACTTCTACTGTACATTATACAGTTTTCTAAAAACTGGCACAGCACACAGGAACAAGATTTAACTGATGGTTTATTTTTACAATCGTTTGGCAGGCTGCCAATCTGAATTAGGTTTACTTACATCAACAAACTATTTACACTGTATAAATTACAATATCCTACATGGCAGTAACATTGTATTTTGCTCTAGGGCATCAATTAATAATACTATGTAAGCATGTATGGTAGAGATTGTGCTTTTGGCTTCCATTACGAGGATTGAGGATCGTGAGTTAGATCATGGATCATTAGTTCAGGCTAGATCAACTGCATGTCACAGTTGTCTCTATCCTTGGACATGGTACTTATTTAGTAGTCTCTTTACTACAAACATAATTATATTATAAATGGAAACATGGTAGGATGTAAGATACATAACATTTGTTGAATGTATTTACTGGTCTGCACTAATTGTGGTAATATTATTTATTCAGTAATATTTAATTATTTTCTTTATGTATTTTTTATTATTTGCTTTACATTGTTGGGGTTTTCCATGTTTCTGTACATATACATCATTTTTTAGGTATTTTAACTTATATTGTTTTTTTTAATATTTTTTATGAATATTTGTAATGAGTTGAAATGTACTCATTGCTATTCCATATTGGACAATAAAATTGAACCTGAATACTAATCCGAGTTAACCACATTAAGATGAGAGATATTAGCCAACAAGATTGTGCAAGGTTCAATTTATTCATCATATAAATAACTTACATGAAATTTGTATTCTTGGGTCAAAAATACAGGTACAAAGAATACCAAAAACAGGTTAAACATTTCGAATCAACAACAAATTATACATAAATATAACACAAGCAATACCATAAATGTTAAACTATAGTATATTTATATTAAAACCTGGTATTTGAACATTCAGAAATTTGTAATATTTAAGATAAAAGTATACAATATACAGTGAGTATGGGAAAATACTTTTTTCTGGTTCATGTATATTTAACGATTATTATAAAGTGCAGATACATAGAGTACCACAGTTGTGTCATCACGACGCCAGGTGATGCCCTCTGTTGTCAACAGACGTTGGTTCTTTTAATACGCCTGAATGACTTCATAGGCTTTCTGGAATAGGCATTTTAAAATCTAATATTTTACCATCAAAATGTACTAAAAACACAAAAGCTCGCATTTAGTTATGGAACACACATTTATTCATCAATTAAAAGTAAGATACAACATCTTAATAATTACGTTAGAAATTGGGATCAATGGTTTGTCAGTGAAGAAAATGGCATCCGGTTGAATTCATTTTGCAACGATAGCAATGGGGTAGTATGACGTGGTATCCTGACGTAACACTTTAGTACTCTATATTGAATGAAACACTAAAATCAGACAATTTCTGATTTAATTTGAATGCTAATTGAAACATTTCTAATTTGCATCTTGTATAACAGAAAGGACCCAACAAGGAACCAGTGATTGCTCAGCTACTGGTCTGTTTTGTGGCCATCCTGTTCATCTTTGTCGGACATGTCAATCAACTCGGACCCATTGTTACCATGCCGTTCATGTTGACCTACGCTGGCGTCGACTACGCATACTTTGCGCTAGCTATGAGCTACGACAAAAAGAAACTGGAGAAAACTCAAAAGAAAATGTCGGAGAAACAAGAGAGCTTTCTTTCTCATCTCATAGACAAGAACAAGGATGAACAGGTGGTGCTGCCAAATGGATACGGTACCATGAAGAATGAGGAGGAGGAGGAGGAGGAAGAAGAAGAGGAGATAACAAATAGTAGTTCACCGTTGAGAACTAAAGAGGAGCTTCGTAGCCAGGATGAGAAGTCTGATAAAGAACCATCTGATACTGGAGACAAAAAGGCTCTGCTTGATGAAGACAAAGATGTTGATGATAAACAAGGTTCGTTTTTCTGTTATAATTGTACAATTGCTATTTTTAGGTTGCCAATTTCAGCAGTTAGCGGCTCTGTAGCTTCTTTTTTTGTAGACTTTCCACAAATCTCTTATTTATTGATTTTTCCTAGTGTTACAAACTTTTGGAGAGCACCACCAGCGTCTGTTTATATTGAGAAACTTTTTATGTTGTTGAATTTGGATTGCGGAATTAGACCAAGAAAATGTATAGTATAGATGCCATTGGTTCTAAGAAATGATATGGAAATGCTGCCATTGGTGCCAAAACTTATTTTTAATTGTTTTCCCTCATTTAGGCAAAATTTAGGGACTGAAATTCGGTCTAGCATTTTTGCAGTATGTGATATATTAAATTAACTTAATTGTTGTTATTATTTCCACTTGTTTTAAAAATTTACCACAAAATAATGAGCTGGTATTTATCAGTTCTGATGGTATTGGATAATATGAAATATAAATTGACTGGTGTTTAATTTTGCTGTTTATGTTTCAGACCCACCCCGACCCTTTACTAGTGAGATCCACCGAATGCCAGAATCTTGGTACTCCCACCTTTGCAATAGATGGGTATCACTCTTTGGGGTTTGTATTCTTCACTTTCCATTTGTATTTCAGTTCACTATCTTAAGTATAAAAAATATGAAATATCCATGTCCAGCGTCTTATTTCAGTGGTACTTTATGTTCATCGACAAACACTGTGACAGACCCTGGAGTAGACCCTAAGTGCAATTATTTTCATGCTAATATGTGTTATAGAAATCATAGCCTCATCTTTGTAGTAAGTAATGTATTTGTAAGATGTTAAAGGTTTTATTTTTTGAGGGAAATCATTACTATTTTAATGTATTTTATGTGGTTACATATGTAAAAATAGGCTTCTGATAGGAGCATGTGTATACTGCAGAAACTAGGTCAAATTGCTTTTAAACATAGTCCTTTGTCGGACAAGGTGCTATCAGCCATTGGTCATCTGTCGAAACGTAGGACCAATTACCTACTCCCTGATAAAACTACATTCACACTGTGCCTGGCATGCCTGTCAAATGAAGTGAAATGAAATGAACCTTAACATATTCCATTTTACAGAAAAATTCCATGTAACTAATCCTGCGTTCATTAGAACTTGTGAAAACTGATTTCACAACTTGTAACATGCGAGAACAAGAGAAGAGGCCATTCATTTGCCGAACGCTAAAATGCCATTTCTTTTTTTCCTATTCAGGATTTTGACAAGCGCCCTTACACGGATGTGCTCCTTGGCCAAGCCTAGCCTATGTAAAAAAAGCATGAATTAGGACTCTGTAAAATGTATTCAGAATGTTATACAGTGCAAATCATAAGATTGCAAATAAAAGATACAAAAAACACTTTTTTTTTTAATTTGAAATAATATTATTTAAACAAATTGCAATAAATACATCTGCTCATTTTTGTTACATCCGCCATTTTCCACACCACTTGTGCAAATCGAGGAAGAAAATTCTACTCGAGTTCACAACTTGTGTTTACAAGTTCAGTGACCAGATAAACACATTTCACAAGTTGTGAACTGGGAAACATCGACTTCACAAGTTCTAATGAGCGCAGCATCAACACATTCTATTTTACAGAAAAGTTCCACTACCACAGCATAAAAGAAATCTGTGCAAGCAGAGTATACTCAAAAATGTATCATTTGGGTTGTACAACAATGTTGAGGTTAACAGTTGTATGGTATACAGTATAATAATACAGAAAGGAGAATAAAATTAATAAGTGTTGAGGAAGCTGTAGTATTTTTTAAATATGCAAAAAGCAAGCAATATTGTATTTTGTTATTTCAGGTAATGTGCTGTGTTGTGATCATGTTCTGTATTCAGTGGAGCTATGCATTGGTCAACATTTCCATAAGTCTTCTCATCTTTGTTTACATCGGTCAAGCCAATCCCGGTGTTTATCCAGGAATTGCTGATTTCAATTTTTTTCGATGGCTACAATTCTCATGTCAGCGTTTATGCAGGTATGATTTCATAGGTGCATGCTCGTATGTGAATGTATGTACATGTATGTGCGTACATATAAGGCTTAACATACCAAAACGAGCATCAGACCAGAAAATTTTAATTGACTTTTTATAATACTCTTATTCTCCACATTGTAAGCTTTAAAATGATGGGTCATTTACTGGAATCAACTTACTATTGCCAAAGTTATGAGTAAAAGTATTACAGCTTCTCTGTACTAAAGTATACAATACTGCCACATTATGCTAATTACACAGTTTACAATTAACAACAGTACACTGGTTTTGGAATGGCAAGCCTCATATGTATGATGCATATGTATGTTGTTATTGGAAGTATGTATAGTGTGTGTTTTGGATGCTTGTTTATATACCTGTATACATGTATGTGTGTTTATGTAAGTGAGCTGGTATTTCATTTTGTATAGCATTATGAATATTTGTAGTTTTTTTATTATCATTCTCTTTTAATTTAAATTCTTTTTTCAACATTTTGTATAATTCAATTGAAACCCTCCTTCTTTTTGTCGAACAGAATATTAGAGGGAGCCTTTTCTATTGTAACTGTGTTCATTGTTAATAACAATGTACACAGTTTAAATAAAATATGTGTACATTGTTAATAACATCTTATAGGCATCAATATACATGAGACCTAAATGAATATTCATGAGCAACTATTGCAACGCTAGAATCTTTTCAGTACATGCAATATCGATTAAATTATCGAAAGTTGTAGCTCATAAATTTGGATTTCAATATTCCATTGCATATTAATATGAAATGTACACATGTTTTTACCAGAGGCTGCTGAAATACAGTACCTTTTTAGTTTTTTTTTAATTATTTATTTATACCTTTTTTGCATAATACATACATAACATTGAACAGAAAAACTAACAATGAAAAAGTCTTAGTATAAAATAGATATTACAATATAATACAAGACAATTGTTCAAGAGAAAAAAAAAAGAAAATAATAGTTTTCACATTTCAAACTAAAATCAATTATTTGATAGTTATTGATTCCTTAGATTTTTCACTTTTATGTAGAATATCCCAATTTATTTTTCCAAGTTACTTGTTTATTCAGCCACATGAAATTTATCTATTTCCTTTTTTCTCAACATTCATAGTAAAATCTTTGTGGAATACTCTTGGTTTAATGTAATACTATGAACTGTTGGCATATCCTAACAACTACAAAGACAGTCCAAATGAAAAGTTCTCCATGAGTAAGTCAGTGGTTTTGTGTTCACTGAATGCTATTGTTGCTTATTGGTTGTGAATCTCAAGAATTTTATTCTACTACAATAGCAATCCAGCTGAGCGATTGGCCAAGAGGTTCCTGCTTCTTGTTCTGTAGACCCTGGTTCAAACCTAGCCAGCATTGGGTTTTAACCTTCATATCGAGAGTTAGATGGGCTAAGGACTATGTTTGTATTTGTATGTATATTGGTACATGTTGTAGTTAAGTCGGGTTCGAGTTGTTAACAAATGTGGCAAAGACAAGCCAAACCAGTCACTCGTCGCAAAAACCGATTTTTAATTATTAATACAGTGTTAGAGAGCAAAATAATAGCTATAAAATGGTAAAAAAAATCATCCAAATTGGACATTTCCTTATGAAGTTACAAGCGTTTAACCACACAGCTGTTTAAAGAACAATATATGAGAAATTAGCCTTCAAAGTTTATGATTTCAGGCATTTCTCATGCAGAAACTATCTTTAATTCCTTAAAAAGTGTTGTTTTAACATTGAAAATGGGGAAAATAACAGCATAGGATTGTGTGTATATATATAAAGGTTAGTTTAGTGCAATAAAATAGATTTTTAAAAACTCGACATTTTAGCATGTTTTGGCCATTTTCTCTGAAACACGATTTGCGACGAGTGACTGGTTTGGCTTGTCACAGCCACAAATGTTATTTAAGGCACAAGCTTTTGGTCGTTGATATAACTGAAGCACATACAGCTTTAATACATCTAAAGAAATAGGGCATCTTAATCAGTATACTTTCATCACTCTGTTGATAAAAGCAATCAGGAATATGGATAACTATGTAACAGAAGGGGTTTGTTTTTTAGGTATCCTATTGGGCATCATTACTTAATTCAAGAAATACAGTCCTAGTTAATGTGTTCTGGTTTGCCTTTTACACTTTTGAAAAGAAAGGAATGATTTGTAAAGGGAGATGAATTGCTATAGGGTTGGTTTGATTGTGTAGTGCATATTGAAAGAAAACAAAGCAGTTTGTCACTTTATTCCTATATGCTATCATACAGACTGTGCAACCTTCTCATACTACCACTGTTAGCTGCACACATACAAACCAACAGGCTTGTCATGGTCCATGAGCTCAACCCCTGTTGAGGTAAAAGGGGACAAATCCTATTTGCCATAGACAGCCTAAGGGTTTTCAAAATAACGGTTGCTTTTAGACCAATATTTTTAAAAACTGCACTCAAAAACTTTGGTTTGATTTATAGCAAATTAATATTTGTCCAAAAAATGGCATTTGGTAATAGGGGGTTCATACTTGCCTGACAATGGAAAATTTCCTTTCAATCCCTGTTATCAACATCTTTTCTACCAGGTAACCATTTTAAACTCCTGATTAGAGAGAGGTAATGCAGATAAAGTGCCTTACCTAAAAACACAGTCTTGCACTGTCTGTATGCCAATCAGAGGCCAAAAGCCTTACTAGACTCACCACGCGAGTCAAATGGTCGAGCGGTTAAGGCAGGGGTGCCACAAAATTAAGGCATAATATCGGCGCTGGTGCAAGCGGCACGCTTGTCTATGGTTCTGGGGTTTGAACATGTCTTCTCGTATAAGGACTATAAACCATAGGCCCAGTGTAACACAGTTGGCTCATGTGCACTTTGAAGAACCTAGTACATCTTTCAAGATGGGTAGGGGGTTACACTGGTACACTAGTCCATACAGGCAATGTAGCCCTGCATTTAAGGATTCTGAGGTGCTTTGCTGGATGCACCTTCGTAAACATAAAACCACATAATTTGTCACATACTGTATTGTGTTTTTGTTTTTTTTAAGATGTAGGTATTTACTGCATCATCCATGCATTTCTTTCATTATCCAACTACTTCCACAATTGCATGTGTAGTGTTAGGTTTATACTAGTTGCCATTTCAACGCTTCTAACTTTTGAAAACTTTTCTCGCTTGCATGCATCTCTTCATTAATTTTTTTCTTCTTTGGTGATTGGTTCATCAAATTCGCCAGTTTGCCACCATACAAAACATTATTTTTGGCCCTTTCCTAGGAGCACGCCACTTCCGGCAGACCAAATGGTTGTCACCCCAGTAATGGGCAAGATGGGAACGTCAACAACTCAACTGACGGAAGATAGTGAGGACTACGCGACACGCGGCCGATACCATCACACGTCTGTCCTTAAGCATGACAACTTTGATGATAGTTTTGAAACTCAAAAGCTTTTAGTTGATACTATGGAAAAAGAATAACATCAACTTTTGAATTATTTTTAGTTACCATAAGTGACTTAGTAAGCCCTTTTTTGAATAAGCTGCCACTCACTAATGAGTAGGGAATAAATTTCAAATTTTTCTGCCAGACTTAAATATGTGCTGTGGTACGTTTAGTTATATAAATAATCTATTTTGAATTAAGGTCACATCACTTAATCAATAGTACAAATTAGCAAATATGTCTTTTTTATGTGTTCTAGCATCCAGACACTATTGCTGCTGATTGTCAAATACTCCATTTCAGTTGACCCTGTCCAGGGCCAGAGTGGCCTTTACTTCAGCACCATTTTAATATGAAATAAAGGACAATTAATTTAATTAACACTGAAAAGCAAAATAATATTAAACTGCTTCCGAAAAGCTCATAAACTCCCTCAGTTACCAGTGTCCTCGTTTAGCTGCTAGACCAGCTATATCAATCCAGGTCTGCTAGTAACCTTATTTTCTGTTAATATTTTGTTGTTTTTATTTGAGTGGAAAGGGAAGGAACTTAAATTATTATTTCAAAGAAGTAAACTACCATTAACTATTATTTATCAATAAAACTATGTCCAGTCCATGTCAAAACTTGATTTATTCTAGTTCCTGTAATTTCTTTTTTTTCTTTCAAATATATACATTTGAAGATAAAATGTTTTCTGTGATTTTGTAATTGTAGTATGATAACTGTGTTGAGGGTGCCAAGTGACCAGCAGTTGCTGATTGGTTCTCCAACATCAAATGTGATTCACAATTAATATTAAAATTATAATTTTTTTTAACCCATGTAATTTTGCTCGTTTTATTTTTGCTTTTCATGAATTCATGAAATTTAATGTGCAATCTGTTAGTGATCATGTTTTAAGTAATTTTTAAATGCTTCATTGTTAATTTACTGCATTTTAAAAAAATCAGCTTTGCTGTTAGGAGTATTTTCTGCTTGATTTAAAATAATTAATCATTATCATCATCATCAAGTTCCATATATATTTTGAATCTTGACATTTTTTTAAATATTAAGCACGATACTTAAATGAATAAACTTTCTTGAAAACTATTATAAAGTATAACATTTATTGTTATGTTAGTTTTTTAAAAAATACGTTTAAAAACTTCATTTTTTGATAAAATTAATATTAATGTTTCATGATGTAATAATGCTATGAATCTGTAAAAAGACAAGATATAAATATTAAATTATTTTGGTTATCCTTGCTTGGATCAAAGGTGAACACATTTCCTAGTTGTATAAGCAATAATAATAATTATTATTTGATTATTTATTATATTTGATTATTTATCTTTAAAGCCATATTTGGTTATATGAGATGTATGATTTATCCTAATTTTCCTTAATTGTTAATGATGTCATGACATTTAACGTTCAGTATGCATTTTGTTTGTGTTAAATTGAATAAATAAGAAGATGCAATGTGTGAGTTTTGTGGTGCACCCGAAATTTATTTGTTCATAATGTAGTTAGAAAATATAATTTATTATAAATAAATATTGCCACCAATTACTAATGATGACAATAATAATGACGATGACAATGACAACAATGGTGACAGTCAATAGTAATATAGTAGTAATAGAAGCACGGGTCTCCCTCCAATTAAAGACCAATTTTGGGACCAAGGTTTCTATGGTTTTTAGCAGCTTTGGTCTCTAATTAGAATAATAAAACTAAAAGACATTTTTTTATATGGGAACCATAGAAAAGTGGTCTTTAATTGGAGGTAGTCTTTAATTAGAGTGAGACCTGTAGTAGTAAGGTAAGTTGTAGTTTGCATTACAGGCAGTAGCAATTATAAAATAGTATGAAGAAGGTACAGTAAACCTAAAAGGTGATATTGCACAAAACCACAGACTACGTATGCAGTAGTCAGACATCCTTTGCTGGTGTCTTGGAACCCTCGAAAATGTTTGGCTGGACATTTGTCTGCCCATTGACACATCTTAAGAACATTGACATTGTTATCAATTTGAAATCTCACCTGGGGTTTTTTTACAGGCAGGGGTTTTTTTACAGGCAGAAAAACTGTATTTTCTTTCTTAACAAAGATGGCCACCAAACATGTAAACAACGATAATATCTGTGCCTTGAGGTGTGAGAAGAGAATTATTGAATTGCTCACTACACATTTAATCTACTTGATTTTATGTGTATTGCTGGATTTGCCATCATAGGCCAATATCCACTTTAATTCCATCAAATTATCTAACATGTTTGAATTACCAATGGACTTACGAAAGTATTTGATTATTTACAGGAACTGAATTATATGTGTAATGTAATTGGCCATACATACCGTAGGCCTACTTAATTGCGTACTCTTTCGATGTCATTTTGATCATTTTTGTTTTCTATAACAGGAAAGATGTGTCGTCTCAGGAACAGATGATTGTGAGCGGTCAGTCGTTCACTCCTGGAACATCCTACACAGAGCAACTGACGGAAGATAATGCTGATTTTGCCAACAGGGGGCGCTATCACCAGTCTTCACTGATGGAAGGAGGTAATTTTGATGAAAGCTATGAATATGAAGAAAAGAAGGCATTCTAGAATGATATGGGTTTTATTATCTAGACTCTAAAAGTGAATGAAATTTATAATGCGTCATAAAAGCCAGCCTCACATGAGAATTCAGCTGAGCTCCCAGCCTCACGTGTAAGGACATGCATACCACATAGTGAGAATAATCCTGATTTGTATCCTTGACCGAAAAAGAATCTTAGCATTCTGATTGGTCAATTAATTGGGATGTAAGCTACTTATCAACATCACCAAAAATCTTTGATAAATATTTTGCTCACAATTCAGAATTCAAACTGGAAAATTATACAGTCACTAGTGGATTGTACTAAGGTGTGAAGCTAGTAGCTAAACTGAATTATCTTGTAAGCGATAGGTTTAATTAAATATGTATTCTATTTTTGGAACATCAGTGGTAAAGTAAGTGTGTAATAGTTATGTGATGAACCTGTATGTATATTGAACTATATATATTTTCCATTGTTGAAAAAAATTCAGTGTTATATAACAATTTGAGGACTCTATGAACTTAATATTTATTTCACTGAATATAATAATCTGTTGAATATAGAAATACATGCTATACTTTTTAAATTGTTTACATTTTCTTATTTTAACATGTTTTGAGATAGTTGATAATAGGCTATTGATGTTAATATATTTTACTTGTTATTATAATCATTTCAATGAAGTATTACTAAGTATAAATTTAACCAATGAAAGATAAATAAAAATGTTTTTAGTAAAGCATGTTTGGTAGTGTCACTAAATATAAATGAGAGCACATGCATGTTCTCTGACAAAACGTTTTTATTTTTTAAAATTTTATTGCAAGACTCAAAATTTTAAATACTTAAAAGTATACCCTTTTTATTGCTTTCACAATTAAAGAACGCCCCCTATATTCCAATTTTGTGCTCTGCGCTGAATTCCTAAATTTTCACCTTTTTTTTTCTGTGAATTGTTTTTTTTATGTTGAGTGCCACAACCTTAACTGTGTGCTACTAGGAAGTTGTTTTAGGAATTACATTCCAAGTAAGAAATATATTTAAAGATTTATATTAAATTGTCGAAATTAAAGTGCATTCAAAAATATGTACTAGATACTTGTAGTTTAATCCGTCAATTCTTCCTACATAATTTTAATATATATGTTGCTCAATGTGTGCTTATATTAAGTTGTGATAAATTGATTTTGTAGATTAACTGTAAGAATGTTATACTGAAGACAAACATATTATGTGCAAGTTTTTTGTGGTTAAGTACAGTAGAGAACTAATTGGTTGTTTGTGGTGTAAAAATTGTATTGCAGAGATAATATTTTGGTAAGACATATGTAAGCAAAAGTGTGGTATTTCCAATATATCTTAGTGCTGCTGAAGGTATTTTACTCAAAATCAGAAAACAGAAGGTAATATTAATACCAAAAGCAGTATTACTAGTTATACAATGCACATGGTCACCCAACAGACTCCTATGAACCTATAAAAGTATTTTTAATAGATTATCATTGGTGTTATATTGCTGTCAATGGAAAGTTCATAGGCCCTTGATATATATTACTACTGTACAAATATAATATCCACAATTTGTCTATATAATGCCCAGTCAATGTTTAAACCCAATGTAATGTTTTTACAGTTTAATGTTTGCAGTTCTTACTAAATGAAATACTATAGTAATGGTCTTGTTCTTTTTTCTTCATACAAGTTTCTTTGGAGAACTTGAATATAACATGAAATTTAAGAGCTGACTCCTTTAGTAAAAGTGTTGTGAGGTATTGTATTATATTGACAGTTCACTTTACTACTATCCAAATTTCTAAGATCAGTGTTATTACTGTTATTCTCCATATTTTGGAAAAACATGTACAATGTATTATCATATGAAAACCTGAACACAAATATTGTTGTGATATTGTGACGTTTCTGTTCTAAATTGTAAGTAACCGAGAAACTACTTAGTGAATTTTTAAAAACCAAAAATAACTTCTTTCCTTTTGCAAGCTTTGCATATAGTATTAACTCTTTAATACTTATAATTTTACTTAAATCAGCTTTCTGATGAAAATATCTACTTTAACTTTTTGTCAAGATTTTAATAATTTGATATTTAATTTAAGACAACCAAATATATACTTTTTAATTTTGTTTCTCTTGTTTTTAATTTAATATTTTGAAAAAAATTGTGGCAATATAGAACACTATTTTGGATAAACATTCCATTCTATTTTTTTTTATGGTGTCCTTAATCCTTCCAATAAGATTATATAAAAATGTTATATTATATTGTGTATAGTGTAGAACCTTGGGAAAAATGTATCAATAATGGGAAAATTGAACCTATATTTAGTTGGTTGAGTACCCAATTTTAGTTTGAATATCTTGGGTTCAAATCATATGAGAGACAATACATTTTTCTCAAAATATTAGATTGACATTCATTCATATGTTATATCCTTTTGAATGAATATATGAAGTTATTTATTATAATTTATAATCTATTATACCGATGTAAACATCATTGCATAATTATTAGTTTCTGTTATTGGAAGGGAGTAAATGATATACTATAAAACGTAATTGTTTTATATTATTGATGTAATTATAAATATAAGGTAAATTTAAATAGGATTTATAGATTACTTACATATATTTGACATTTGTTTACCCAAGTTGTGGTGTACTGTAGGCAGTAGCCAATCCTGTTGGAATGCAGGGTTAAAGATGGTCCCCCTGTTTGAAATGTACACACCCTCCCCAACATCATCATGTGCCTGGGCTTTGAAAATCTTAGACATACCTCTGGTAGTGTATGATGCCATAGTATATAATGTACAATTAATTGTATAATGTGTGACATAAATATACTATATATATATATATGGTGTAAATGTATTCAATGTGCCTATGTTGCAAAGTTGTATTGTATAGTTGGCTGATACTCGCAGTGGTAATGAAGAACATAATGTATTGTATGTAAATAGTTTTGGAAATAATGATGTATTTATAGTAAGAGTAGTAAATATCGTTATATGTAGAGAGTATCAAATAATTTAAATGTTTTTACGTGCAATCAGATCTGATTATTAATGATTAAGTAACACATAAGACTGGATATCCACCTGTTTCAGCCCAAACATCTTAGATAACTCAAAAGTCTTTGCATGTGCCAGTGACATCATTGAGTTCTAGAGGTTGCCATTGTCGCATAGTTGAAGATCCCTATTTTACTGTATTAAAAGTATATACACTACCTTAAAAATATAGAAACTGGATTTTCCTGCTAAATGTGTGCTACATGGTAAATCAGTAGTGTTGATAAATTACAGTGGAATGTATATTTTAGAAGTTGGTGCAGTAGATTGTCATACCATAAGCTTTGTAAAGTTCCACCTAGGTATAGTATTGGTGCTTGCTCTGAATACTTACACAAATTTATATATTTATCATTCTTTATTATGTTTTATTTCAACAAATTTTAACAATTTATTATTCAAATTGTTGCTAATTGTCATTTACAGTATATTCCATCGAATTATATTTTCCATTGCTCTTTTTGTAGTTACAACCTAAATATTATAATTTTTCATAAATTATGCTAATTACCTGTCATTCTCATTATAATCATGTAATATGGGTCACATGACCTTAGAAGATGATTCAATCTATTAATTTCAATGATCATTATTTGATATTGTTATTTTAGCATTTACATTCAGCATGCTTTATCCTGGTTCTATTCTTGATTGTTGTTTTATCTTAAATGAAGTGTACTTAAAATGTAAAACCGTTGTAAATGATTGAAATGTATTCTTCCCTATTAAAATGTGTCATAATTGGGTGGCATTATGTCATTACATAAGCGAGTGGCTTTCCTTGCATTAGTAAATAGGTCATGTGATTTATTCCAGTCTGTTGCAAATCTACATTAACAGGAAAATAAACTCCAATAAGAGCTCCAGACAATTCTATTTTCAGATTAAACAAATTGAAACTATGATTACAGCTTCAAAATGTTTGTCATCAAATGATTGGTTTTTTACCATCTTGTATTCAAATAATAACATTATTTAAATAATTAAAAAAAATGAATTTAACATGTCAAAGTATTCATACGCTTTTAATTATAATAAGTGATAAAAGTTTGGAAACATGTATAGTATGTATTGTGAATATTGTTATGTCATTTGCTCTTCATTTGATTCAGTATTATTCATGTGACACCATTCCCTCAGATATCAAGCAGTAGCAAAATTGTAAGCATTTCATAGCTGCAATGTTACATGAGCTAAACATAAACTGTGTACAATCAATAGTAAACTGTAAACAAATTGTAAACAGCTAAGTATGTTTATTGGTTATTTTGCGCATGAAAATTTTAGGCAGTATTGAAATAGATACTGCACAAGCCTTTTTCAGTATTAATTTTAAACTGTCCAGATAACATTGTTTATAAGTATAGTATCATGTGTGTTTAGTAAACTGAAACCGATCTGGAAAGTTTTATTGCGCCGGTGTCCACCATCAGTGCTTATGGCACGTGTTGGTATTGAGTATATGAAATGAAAGATGTAAAGTAGTTTGTATCTGATTGATGGTAGAGTCTGAAGACTTAGCTTGGAGTTATGCAGTTGCAATGGTGCAATGTTGACTTGGGGCACTGCCATCTTAATTCATGGTATTGTCATAGATCAAATGTGGTGCAATGCAGCCTCGAAAGTTCTGTCCCTATTATCAAATTTTGTGATAAATTTTTGTGATGTGCATAACGACGGGCATGACGACTCAAATTATACCCCAAATATAGGCATATCACAATCATATTTACGTGTGGACAGCCCTTACTGTTGGTGCAATGCACAGCCTTAACTTGGTATATTCTACATGTGTTTGTCATCAAAACTAGACAGTACTGTTGTTCATCATTATACTGTACACTAAAAATAGAGCATGATTTATTGTGAAGTAATAAAGTGAATCAGTGTAATATTCTCCCATATATTTTGTCATGGAAATTTCTTACGAATTCAAGATATTTTTGTAATTTTAATGCCTGTAATGTCTGAATCACAACTGTTTTGTATCCAATAATTGTAAAATTACAAATTTATATGATACCAGAGGAAAATTTAGTGGGGCTCACTTTTGGAAAGTTGAAATAATTGATCGCCCAAAATGCCTCAAAGGTTATTTTCGGGCTTCTAGAAAACAAAAAATTTGCAGACCTCTTAGGGTAGTGTTGTCTCGATCGGTAGTGTTGTCTGTCAATCGGGGCCCTTTTCAGACATCTCTGGATCTGTCCCTGGGCACCAATTCAAAAACAATAATGACCGAATGCATGGGAGCGTTATTGCGTTTATCTGGCTGAAGTTTGCTCCCATACTTAAAATACAGTTAATACAATTAATTGACAATAGACATTCAACATGATATTATCACAAATTTATTTTTGATTATTGTAAACATCAAAACTGCATTTTATTTCTATTGTACATTACAGATGCAATTAGAACCTGGCAATATAAGATTTAAGGTAACCGTTCCAGACATGTGTCAAATTCAACAGTACCTAAAGTTTACATTTGGATGATCAATGATATAACCGGGAATGTTTAAAGTTGCTCTTTAGGAAGAAAATTACCGTAATCAGCACAGCCAAACTGCATACATAAAAATATGTGGGAAAATCTAGTAACTTCCCCAGCAACACTCCAGTTCAATCATTTTGAGAATGCGTCCACAACATTCAAATAAAATGTCATTAGATGCTAAATACAGTACAGTAATACTGTAATGTAAAAAAAAAAGATTTCTTCTAGTCCTGTACAAAACTTTAGCACACTGATATCTGTAATCTGTTTTCATTACGTTATTCAAAAATTGTTGCACTTTATACAACCAGTGACGTATCTAGAGTCTTGGGAAGGAGGGGGAAATGAAGGTGGGGGCTTAAGCTAGGGGATGCTAGGTTGCAAAATAAGATGGTATGACATGACTTTTAACTACATGAGCACAATTTTTTTTTGCTTCGGACATTTTGAATGTGGGGACGGGGAGGGAACAAGCTTTTGGGGTTTAGCACACCCTATATACACCACTGATACCTTCCCACCAGTTTATTTTATTACCAAGGTCATTAGATTCATAAATTGGTTGCACAACATCATTCAAATCTTTACTACATTCAATATTACAACATCAATTCTAGATGTTTATTTTGTATTATTATTTCAAACAGTTATAGATAATCACTGTTAATATCCACATCATTGTTGTTATATTTTTGTATAAGAATTTATGATTCCTGAAACAATATTTAATAGTCATGAGTAAAGCGGGTTTTTTTTACGGAATGTTTTACTAATATTCACAGCAAACTTTAGAAAAACTACATTCTGCAGAATGTTAATTTTATATCATTTTACATGTTGAGTAAAATGTAAAATTTAGAAATTGTCAGCACAAGTCAGTACTTGTTTAATGCTCAAAATAATAACGTTCGTGATTCTACAAAATGAGCAAATCAACATAAAGAATGTATTCTTTGTTCTAATTTCTCAGTGGACAACATATGCATTTTAAATGCCATGATCAAAATCTACCACATTGTTTTTTACCCAAATTTGGCTTTCAATTTGTGCAAAATAGCCCATATGCAAAGTAAAGTGCACCTTTATATCATAAACATTATGTTAACGGCTGCAGCTCAGAATTTAAGCACACGTTTCAATTTAAAATTCTATTACTGAATAGCAAAATCAGGTAAAAAGGCTCAGGCTCAGGAATTCTTTAGTCTTGTTTACTTCTTGTTATTCCACCGATAACCTTCTTCCTCTGTCTGATCATGTGTGAGTATAATCGCGGAAAAACTGTTACAAAAGAATAAGCAGTAAGTAAAATAATATACCATATTTACAGATTCTATAAAATTACAGTCAACTGAAAAGCAAAGCACTTTACATCATGTGGGGAAAACTGTCACTTAATAAGCAACTAGCCAACCTCAATATCACACTGGCTGTTTAATTTTCACATGGTCCTGACCACAGCTCACTTGTTAGGCAAGACTTTTTTCATAACTTGTTTAGCAAACCTGCTGCCAGCATTCTCCAAAATACATGTAAATTTAAAGTATTTTCCATCCCATTACTACACTGTTTACATTCACCAATAAAATTTTATTTTATTTTTCTCCTCCGTTTGGATGTTTTTGGCAAAACTCTTCGCTAAATAAAAACCAAAATCTTATTTTTATTTTTTTTTTCCACCCTCCTTTGATGATAAGTTTGCGAAACAAGGTATAAAAAAGGTCTCGCCTTACCATTATTATTCTTAGTATTGCTTAAAGGTTTGCATGGCGAAGAAATAATATATATGTTGAAGCTTGCGGTACACCACGTAAGTAGTTCTGAAAAGAACTGTTGTAGTTGAGAAAGTCTCGACGTTTCGATTGAGTTGCTTCATTCGTCTTCAGGAGAATTATTCTTCACATTTACATATAACCTGCCTATATTTATAAGAAGCATTGATGGGTAGAATTCCTTGCACTATTGATGTCAGAGGCTTTCCAAAACGTGTCTGTGTTTAAGTTTAAATTGGTGGCAATTTATATTAAATGCATGGCAGTTTTCTTTTTATCAGAAGTTTTGGTGGCATCATATGACTCAGCTGAATTATACTTTCAAATGTAAACTGTTCTTCAAAATCAACATTGTCATGATGCCCTCTCTGTTCATTTAAAAGTTTGTATGACTTCACATGACAGCTATTATGTAAAGTAAGATCAAGGCCACAATAATAATATCAATTATATCATGTCAAAATATTTACACCTAATTATTATGACAAGTAATTAAAGTAATATGATGCTATAAACTAGTGCTTCATACAATTCTTTCATCCTTTTATCAACTAAAATTACCCAATGTTCATATCAAGCTTTTTGAGCCAAGTTTTCATAATATTTAATTAATGTATCGACTCCTTATAATATACCTTCGTATGTTATTTATTTTTAATATTGTATTAAGGCTATGTTTGGCATAAAATAAAATAGAATTTTTTTAAATGCTTGGTAGGAACATTTTAATTTAAAGAAAATACAGCGCATGATATCCATCTTCTTTTTTTTTTTTAAGGTAAGTGTACTGTATATGTGTAGAACTTTGTAAACCGCTTATTTGTTTGCTCAGCATGTTCACATTAGTGAGAAACACACGCCAACCTAACCTTAAATATACAAGCAAATACCTGAAAATGCTGCTATGTTAAACTAGGAATAATTTCACTAGAATATGAGAATTACATAAAAATGTTGAAGCCATTATTAAGAGACAATTTGAATATAATACTTACTTGGGAGATACAGCACCATGAAGAAGATGAGAGCATAGTAGTAATTGAATGATATGTTGAATTTATTTGGCAGCGTTACAGAGTATAAACTGTTGCTTTTCACAATGGGCAATGCAGCATATATTGTCAGCAGTTCTCCCTGTTAAATAAAACTATATATGTTCATACAACAGTTTGAACAAAGATTAAGGATTAACATGGTATAACACAGAGGCTACCATGGTATTCAGCATTACCATCTGAGTAGAATGTATTAAACCTTTCACTCTTTAAATATGGTAAAATGTACACAATAATAACTGACTTGTTTTAGGTACAGTAGAATACATCATGTAGTTGTGGATGCAGAGTAACTTGCAACACCATATTAGGAATTAGATAGCAACAACATTTGTGTTTAATGATTTTTACAATGCAACTTACACAGACTCCTATTGGGTACAAGATGATGAAAAAAGTATAGCGGCACCATGTCAGTATGTAAGGTAAACGATTTAGCAGACCAAATGTATAAAATGCATAACGGATCACTTCTGTGGTCGTCCAGGCAACAACGAACATAGTAACACTTACTTCATCTTGAACCTAAAGCAGATCGGAAGATACGATTCTATTTGGGTGCATCATGAAACTAAGAAGAATGAGATTGTGAACATTAAATTATATTGCTGGTAGACTTACTTCAGAGACAGATCCAGGATTCTAAAAACAATGTAGTAGTATGGGCAGGAGTGCAAGGGGAGGTCACAAGAGGCATGAAATAAGGGACAGGAGAGTACAGTATGGAAATACAGACATTTTGACAGTTAAAGCTGCATTTACATTGGATCCAAAACAAAATTTGGACCACCTCTCTGATGCGCTCAACACCAGCATCCTTATTCTTACACACTGATTCAATTTTCTGATCGGTTTGGTAGGACTTCTGATTCAAAAATTCGGATTCTTTGTGAATTGGGCTTTAATCGGGACCGGAAACACACAAAGTGCAGATCCATTAGTCAGCAGTAGGCAGACTATTTGCCAACACAGTGGATGCCAGGTATATGTGCACAGATAGGGAATATAATACATATTGTTTGGATCTTCAATTGCATTGACAAAGACCAGCTACATCAAATACCTGTGGTACGCTGTGCGTAACCGACCACAGCAGCATCAGTCGCGACATCACTTGAAATGCTGTTAGTACAATGTTCGATGAAACAATTCCAATAGCAGCATGAAAAATCTATCAACATAAAAAAAAACATGATTAAAAAATGGCTTACAAGTAAACAGATAATCAGTCAGTCTGTCATAAAATTATGAAATTTTTCCACAAAACAATTTGCAAGTAAAAGTTTGATGACATGGGTGAGACGTATTCCCCAAAAAAATACTCGCTTCCACAGTCGCCCTCCCCCCACCCACCAAAAAATAAATAAAAGTCATGTTCAAGTAGTTAAAAATCACTTTAACACTTTATTTTGCGAGATAGTTCCCCCTCACCTAATAATCGAGCCACACCCCCTCCCCAACTTCACCATCACATCCTCATTGGCTCCCCCTCCTCATTTCAAGATCCCTAGATACACCACTGGTTAATGTACTGTATAGCTTGTGCATAAACACTTAAGTTTGAAGCTGTTTTTCTCAGTTAAAATACTGATACTTAAAAGCAAAAGGTTAAACTGATATCTTTGTAAAATTTATTAAGTGTTCATTATTTTTTATCTTAAATGTGCAACAAACGATCAGCTTTGCTGGATGTACTACCCTCACAAAACAGAAATATTTTTTGTTTCTTTTTATTAATATAATATAGTTTTGTTCTACAGTTTTGGCTTAAAGCCAGAATGTATAGTTAACATTCATAAATGTTAATAGTATGTTACTCTGTTTTATTGTGAGAATGCCTCTTCTTAAAGTAAAGCTTACTGGTGGTGGTAGAGCAGTGTCAGTTAACCTTTGACACTGGCCTACTACTGTACTGCTGTGTATAATATACATTAGATTGGTAAAATAATGCAGTTCTAGTAGACAGCAGTGACTTATCTGGGAGTACTGAGATTGGAGGGGGGCTGACATGAGGGTGTGAGAAGGTTAATTGGAGGGCTTGATGAATAACTAAGGGGATGATTTTAACTAATTTTTTTGCTTAGAAGATTATCTGTGGGGGAGACGTGCTCTCCCTATAGATATGCCTTTGACCAACAGTAGCTTATTTACTCCAATACTAAAATAAATTTTAGTAATATTCAACTATCTATTGTTTATTATTATATATCCTTGCTTCATCATCTTCAGAACATGTGATTACACTACAAAATGAGACCCAAAATTTGACATTAAAACCATTTATGATAGCCTAAAGTATATACTGTAAACTACTGTATTTTGCTTACTACTATATGCAAACATATATATATATATCTTATAGCTGTCTCTTATACACATCTAGATGTGTATAAGAGACAGCTATTTGAAGAGGAAGGATTTACGACTGGATTTGAATGATTCCTGATCAGAGATGATACAAATGATGAACACCCATTTTAATTTTTTGTGTTCAAACATCAAAATTTGTGTTCCATAATCCAAATCAATTATCTTTTCTCGCAAAGTGCAACAAGACTCATTTTGCAGTGGGTCACCTATTTTAGCTCTGATGTTTGGCTAATTGCTGTTAAATTGTGAATCAAAATTTAACCCCAACCTCCAGCAGAGCTGCAGTCTGAAAAACTTTTAGTGGCACTTCAAATGCATCATAGGCACCAACAAAGCTTTTGGTCGACATATAATGCTTCATTCCGATAACACCAACACTTGCCCATCTACAAGATAAAACAATATAGTACACTTAGGACAACAAAATCGTTATTTGTACATCTATAATCTTTCTGCAACCTAATGAGGGATCAGCCATGATGGGTCATACTGTAAAGTATTTTAATTGTGGGGATTATACTTACTTCCAAAATTTTATATGTCAGTTGACTCGGTCAAAATGAAGATCAACAATCTACATATCAGCCACTCTCTGTGGTTAAAACTTACATGGATAGGCCTAGAACTACACTGTACTACTGTAGTGGCAAACGATTGGGAGGATTTCAATCAAACTTAGTCAGTAGAACCAATGACACCTCCCATATTTGCAATGTTCACAGCAAAACCCTGTAAAATTCATTAAAGTCTACTTCTGCCACAAATAACATAGCATAGTCCTGTCAACATATCCATTGACATGAGGCATGGTCTTTAAGGTGTTTAGGGATCTAGGGTCAAAAGTCATTAAAAAGTTACTCTTTCTGGCAACATTTCATAATGCTACTAGCGGCAAACAATTTGGCCGATTTCAATCAAATTTGGTCAGTATAACCAGTGAGACCTCCCAAACATGGGGTGTTCACTGCTTAGGATCAAAGGTCACATGGGGACATAAGGGTCAAAAACCCCAAAGTTAATTAAAGACTACTTCTGTAACAAATAACATAGCAGAGTCTTGTCCTTTGCACACAACGTATGCATTGGCATAAACATATATGAATCACATGGTCAAAACCCCAAAAAAATTGATGTACTTCTGTCAGTCTTGTCCTTGATCTAAGTCACTTGATACAAAAAAAAAAAGATGTGTTCACCGGGCTGCAAATTTTTTTTTTAAATTTCGAAAAATATACAAAACAATAGTCTTGTCAAATAGGCTAAAATGAGACATCACACGTCATTTAACAATAAATGTACGAGAGCGAGTGACGAAAGAAGTTGGTTGGGGTTGTTTTCTGGGTTGTTACAGTTTGCGATCATGTTTCATGTGTCGCTAGATAGGCTTGGGATTATGTGAAACAAATAGGCTTACCAAAAATATTATTTACGAATTAGCCCTTTGTTAATGCTGGCCAAAGCATGGGGTAAGCCTACTGTAGCCTACATTACATCACCAACATGCCATCGCCACCAGCACAAAACACGCTTACGAATTAGACATGCTAGTCTAGGCCTATTTTTATAGGCCTAGGCCTATGGTTTCATCGCATCGCATATTAATTTGCTCTAATTTGTGATGATAATTAACAGTAATTTATAGTGGCCTGTATCTACCTATCACAGAGATGCTACTTCACTAGTAGTTCTTCACCATGTCACAATAGTTTTAACTCCTACTGCTTCAACCTAACATAAACAGTACAGTATTTACTTTAGTCTTAATGATCCAAAAATGATGGTACCATGACATTCGGGTCAATGGGGGTTTTATTTTTAAAAACTATAAAACCACTTGTCTGTATCTTATTTGAAGTAGGTGTGACTATATAATTACATCACACTCTGGGCATAATGTAATTTTGTTATGTGTGAAATAATTTTGTAATGAGTTTCTGTTAAATCATCATCACAAATTAATATGATTGTTTAAAATCTGCATGCTTATATAGGCCTAGTTACAATATCCGAATTCACTGCGACCAAAATCAAGCGCGATGAAACAATAGGCCTATAAAAATAGGCATAGACTAACGTGTATACGTGAAGGACGTTGGTGGCGATGGCGTGTTGTTGGTATAATGTAGGCTTTGACCAGCGCTAAAAAAGAGAAAGTAAACCCGAGCAACTTTTTATTCTGTCGCGAAGTTACAGATAAGCTACAATCGCTCTCATACATAGTGACGTACCGTTTGACCAGACTGCTCGTGTTTAATATTTGTCGAAATTCCCTAGGCTAGCGTGTAAAAAAAAAATTGCTACCGGCCTGATAGATAGTGAGAGTGAAGCTCGAGAGTCGAAGGTCAAATTTTCAACATGATCCAATTGAGCTAAAATTTAAAACAGGATTGATCTAATGATCTAACTGGGTTCATTCATGTTCTATTGAACATAGTTTCTAGGCCTAGTAATACTAGATTTTAATCCTGAGAGTTGGCAATCCCTTTGCTTTGTTTGGATGCATAAGCTAGGCCTACCGTGTTAAATCTTAAAATTTGTACAAAATTATTTTTTCAGATTTCCCTCTCAGAAATCTATTAAATTGGCCCTTCCTGTAGGCCTAAACTATAGCTAGAGATAGGCTTAGCCTCTAGATGGTCTATCTAACGTAACAAGCTAGCCCCCACCCCCCGCCCAAGGTAGATATATAGGGAGGACCTGGCTGGATAGACAGATACTGCAACTCTGCTCCCTTTAGCCTTAGGCGAGGGCTTAGGCCTAGGTCTCTGTTTCGTATTATGCACGCACTCCAAATAATTATTTTAGATTATAATTTCAATTAAGTGTGATATAATTTACTGTTTACCCTGCACAAAGAATAACGTTGTACAGAACAAGGTACGCTGTAGCAACCCCCGACAAGCCTTTCTTGCTGGAATTATCCGAGGCCATCATTCATCTCACTCTTCCAAAAAAGAACCAAACTACAGCTGAGTTCGCCAGAAACAGTAACGCTCCAAGCGTTTGTGGCTTGTACAATGCGTTCGAACACGACTTTCAGTTTAACGCATTATTAGTGAACCGCGACGGCTTTTAGGGATTGTGTAAAGCGGGCCCCCTTAAGGGAAAATCTAATTTGATCGCAACCTGATACTGCCACTTTAAATTAAATATTGTTTAATTAGCTACTAATAAACAAATACTCAAAGGACGAAATGCCTAGCAACTAGGCTAGGCCTATAATGAACTACAACGCCCCACCCACCCCCACCAATAGCCAAAAACTGGTCCCTTTTAAGAAGAACGGGGCCCATTTTAGGCTATTGGTTCCAGGCCTGATACAATTGCGTTTGTGCAAAACCATTGACATTCTTGTGGTAACTTTCCTTCTATATAATTCTATATAACCATTATAAAACAAAATTACAAGAGATTGCAATATTTCCTCAATTTCAACTTAAAATTCCAGATCACTAGCCTGGCATCATACCTCTAGACCACCTCTACACCTATACATGTTTCTCCTGACGCAAATCCAGTTATTGTCTATTATTCCATCACGACAATAACAATTACTATCAACACTGCAGTACCCGCTGCTTACTTGGACTCGAATTCAACGCTGGTCATCAGGCGCAAGCTCGGTGGTCTTGAGGTATGATGCCAGGTTAGTGATCTGGAGATCGTGGGTTGGAGCCCCACCCGAGAACAACTATTTTCAAATGTACTGAGTATTCGGTACATAAATAATAATAATATTAATAATGTTAATAATAATAATAGTAATACAGTAGAACCCCCTATTAAGGGGACACCTTCGGGACCAAAAAAGCGTCCCCTTAATAGACACTAACCAAAAACATAAAATTGTCCCCAAATAGGGATTTTGGGCATGTTTTCATATAACGATGACATACATTCTTTATAATTTTACTTTTATTGACATAAGACAGTTGCAATAGAATTAGAACCAATTTATAGCAATAATTTGCAATGCAAATACAAATCATTTATAATATGAAATCTGCAGAAATGTAATTAAAACAACAATAGTTTTATATCGGACCAAAGGTTTTTTTTTAATATTGAGCTTTTTAATAATGATCAAATAATGTCATAATGGTTTCAAATAGTATAATGTGATTAAGTTGTGTGAATGTGTGTGATGTGAAATGTCCTGAAAAGGTACACAAATACTGGTTTACAATTAACAACAATCATATTTAAAGCTTTCTATTAGATGGATGTAGCATGAAATAGAATAATACATGTTTTGATATGGATTAGAGCCCTATATAAAATACAAAAAAAAAAACAACAAAGATAAAGAAATCCCCATTTTAGGGTCAAAATTGACAAGATTGGTTTATACAAAGTATACTAATATGCACTCATAGATTCAGGGGAGAAAAATCTGGTTTATTGCTCAAAAAGTGTAAAAATATAAAGTTGAATGAATTTTTCTTATTTTTAGGATGCTGTAGATGTTGTGATACAATGAAAAAAATCAAGTGTCAGCTTAATAGGGGTTATTTGACCAAGTGGCACACTCAGAAAGTGTCCCGCCCCCTTAATAGGTGATATTTTCCTGACGCAAACTTACATCGATATAGGATATTAATCACTGGCAAAAACAAACTTAGAACAACATTCCCATTACTGTACAGTATAACAGTATAAAAAACAGTTCAAAATCCAGAAGTGCATGGATGGAAACGCATACATAAACACATACATAGGCCTATACATACATACATCTGTCTCTTATACACGCATTGAGCACTACTGCAGTAGATGTGCTTTTAACAAAACTTATTATTATTATTATTACTCCAAACATGTGTGCTGGCACTGACTGGTAGTGTTATTACGGAGCGGAGACAATTGATTTAAGAGTTTTTAACTTTTTGAAAGTCATCCTTGTAGACAGGGCGTCTGTTATGATACGATCTGTGTGGTAATCTAATGGTTTTTTTGCTTCTAAACTATAGTACCGTACAGTTTAATGACATACATTTGGTAGTGGAAAACAGTACAATGTATACCCTGTTTTTTTTTTTTAATTTGTTTTAAGTGTTATTTACTCTAAGTTTAAGTTTTCATACTAAACTATATTTTAAAAGGGTGTAAATAATGCCAATGCTTTCCCATTTTGTTCAAATTTTATTAATGGATATTTCCATCGTTCTTTAAATATATTATCCTAACATTGCATTTTAACGTGTTTCGTAATGTCTCCTTGTATTATATCTACGGTTCTGTTTTATACTTCTTTTACCCGTGGATACACCACCACGTTAAAATGTGTGCTAAAAACGTGCATAAATGTTTGCATAAAAGCGTATACTGTATTCACATATTAATACTATGTGCTCACACATCATCCGTCGGGGAGGGAAACAAGTTAGGCCTATATGTATTTTTTACATATTCATAGACTCTAAAATCGATGCAATAAGCCTAGCTTTGAAACCCCTAAATTCTCATATTTCGGGGGGCTTCGCACCCTGGATCACTGACCACTGACGTCACATCCGGTAACAGGGGGAGTGATTGTGTGAAATAAGAAAGATGAGTCTCAGGGAAGAACCCTGAATGGGGAGATTCTCCTTTAAACCTCTACCATTTTCATTTATTTAAGTTGATATTTTATTGATTTTTACTATTCAACATGGTCATTTTCTGATAAGTTTTATACAAAAAAAAATCGTTCTTCAAAAAATACAAGGGGAGTACACCATTACGCCCTTCTAAATGCGCCACTACATAACATCATCACACTTATTGGTGTAATATGCAGCATACTCCTATTTGTAGAGTGTAGAGAGTAGAGAGTTTAACATTTTGATTGGCGGCTGGGTAGGTGAACTGAGCAGTTTAATCATGTTTCCCTGATATCAAATGAAGATGTTTGTCGGAAATGAGCAATATTGACGAATGAACTTCAACTATATATTATCATTATACTGAATAGATAATGATATTTTATGCAGGGTAAACCATGGAAATGGTATAACCAGAAAAGCGGGTACCTGGAATAACGCCTTATAAAACTGCATCCAAAATGCATTGACCAGCCTGAGGAAAATACGCCTATTTCAAATATGATGTGCACATCATGATTAAACTTACTAATTAATTATCGTTGTGGTAATACTACTTCTATACCAGGGTTTCGAGTAAGATAATGGGATTCGAATTACTAATGCAATGCTCTAATGTTGCTGCCGGCCACCATAAAAAATAGTTAGTATAATTGCGAGTTTGTTCTTTGTTGGCCGAGTTCGTTGATGACCGTTTTTTTAGTTTGTTGGGCGAGATTGTCCAAATGGCAAACTTTCCTTCTTGGCTAGCCTGTGGCGGCTGTAAAATTTGTATGATGAATCTCTCTGTTAAAATCGGACCGGTAGTAATTTGTTGGACGGGAATGTCTAAATGGGAAATTGTTCTTTGCTCCGCTGGTGGTGTATGCTAATGGTTGGTTGTAGTTTGTTGAATGGGAAAAAATGTTTTTTTTTTTTAGTTTGTCATTTATTTGTTGAGTGTGTCCGATCATTTGTTTGTTGAGATTGTCCTTTGTTTGTTGAGATTGTCTGTTAATTGTTTGTTGAGATTGTCTTTTGTTTGTTGAGTTTATCCTTTGTTGAGTTTGTCCTTTGTTTGTTGAGATTGTCTGTTGTTTGTTGAGATTGTCTTTTGATTGTTGAGTTTGTCTTTTGTTTGTTGAGTTTTTCCTTTGTTGAGTTTGTCCTTTGTTTATTGAGTTTTCTATTTTGACCCTAATGGCCGCCCATAGGATGCTACGCTCTTTCGCCCAGCGCGATTTTTTTTTACCGTACGAAATATTTGCATGAAACTTCACTCGGGCCATCTCGGATTGACTCGACTAAGTTCGATACGAGGAACAAGAGCAGACACAATGTCGTGACGCTCGAGTTTTACTATTTTTGCTCTTTGTATGTTTACCTACGGTAGGCCTATGATATCTTACGGATTTATGGGATGTACGTGTGTAACTAACTGTGACCTTCTTGGATGTTATTAAATGTTAGTATAATATCTACAACAACAACAGCTAGTACCCCCTTTTATAAAGTGTAGGTAGGTACAGTAATACCAAAGGCTAGAGAGAAAGAGGATAAACTATGGGCCTAACTTCAGGCTAAGTTAAGTCCTACCTAGTATTATAAGCCTAGGGTCCTAGACTGACACCAACAGTCACGCTTTACATACAGACGTTGATTGAAATTTTGAAAAAAAAATGGAAAAAAAATTAAAGCATGAAATAAAAAATAGAGTGCACAAGAGAAATATTATTAAATAAATAAATATACCATTCGGCGGCGTTATTAAACTTCGCCAAACTAACATTGTAATGTAATTAATGTTAAATAATAAATAATAATAATAATAATAATAATAATAATAATAATAATAATAATAATAATAATAATAATAATAATAATAATAAGTTCAGCATTAATTACCTTGACCTAAGCCTTGTAATGAAGAACTATACTATTTACTAGGCCTATAAATAATAACTAGCCCAGGGGGAATATCTTTTGTGTTATTTCCCTTAACGTCGATTTTTTAATTGTTCTCTAATTCTTCCATTGTCTAAGTTCCCCTTAAAGTAGGCCTACAGGTTGGTTTTAGTAACATGATTAATTAATACTAATTAATAATAATAATAATAATTTCAGCATTAATTACCTTGACCTAAGCCTTGTAATGAAGAACCATTTACTAGGCCTATAATTAGTCCTAATAACTAGCCTGGGGGGGGGGGGATATCTTTTGTGTTATTTCCCCTTAACGTCGATTTTTTAATTGTTTCTATATTCCTCCATTGTCGAAGTTCCCCTTAAGGTAGGCCTACAGGTTGGTTTTAGTAACATAATAATAATAATAATAATAATAATAATAATAATAATAATAATAATAATTAATAATAATAAAATAAAATAAATAATAATAATAATAATTAATAATAATAAAAAAATAAATAATCATCATATTCGGCATTTCGGTAATCAAGAATCTGCAGATTACTATGCCTGATATTAATAACTAGGCTTAGGCCTCATTTATACATTCATTGGTGCTCTGCCA